TCATCTCTCATAATTGCAGTGGAAGTTTTTAGCCTTGGCTTTTTTCGTGCCGATTTGCTGTTTTCAACGTTGCTTTTCACTCTCTGTCTTATTAGAGCCCCAGCTTTGTCGAGCTCAACCTCACAAAGAGCTCGGGACCCCTCGTAAAATTTGTCGATGAATAAAGAATGAACTTCTTGGAGCTCGTATATTTACCCGTGTACATGCGGGCGAACACGTGAGCACCTGGGCCCAGACTCCCACACGTCAGAGATGCTTTCCCCCAGCCCGGAGAAGAAAAAGGCCGAGCCAGACATGCGGCCGTTTGTGTGGGGATTGAACGGCCGGTCTCTGCGGGTTTGAACGCAGCTTCCAATTCACGTTCAAAGGCACTGGCTGTCTGACTGGCCTCTTAAGCGGCTAGTGGGCGTCAGCACTTAGAAGAGAGGAATTCTGCCTCTGTGTGTGCAGCCATGCGCGAGCTGGTTTTTTACTACACTCTGTGTGTGTGCGTGTGTGTGTGTGCGTGCGCGAGTCTCCCCGGTTTCGACGGTGTGATGTGGATGAGCTGCGGTCTTTCTGGGGCTTCCGCAACTCATCCATTCTCCTTTGTGATGGCCCGGGGAGAGGTTCAATCTCAAAAAGTACTCCACTTTGAGAGTAAAGCCCACTAAGGCAGGGGAGCCATGAAAGAGTCAATAAGTAAACTGGAAAGTTCACAATTGCAGCGAATTGTTCATTTTTTGATTAGATAGATAGATAGATAGATAGATAGATAGATAGATAGATAGATAGATAGATTATTTGTGCTTTCGGTGTGTGGTTTTGTGGTTGCGGAACCTCCCAGAGTCTCTACTTTCAGGTGTGTTGGCCCTCTCCGGTATCAGCTCAGTATCATGTGGACAGGTGGAGGGCTCAGTTACACCTCCGCCTGTGATAGCAGGCTGTAATGAGATCATTAGATCCTACTAATAGCTTGTATGGGCAGTCAACTGAGAGAACAGCTAAGAGGATCAACTTACACTGAGCCAAACTGGCCCAGTGTTACACCATTTTTATTTTATTTTTTAGAACAGATGCAAATGTTTAATACTAAGGCTCACTTAGCTGGTCTCTACCGTTAAAACACCTATAATCACCTCGTTTGAGCAAGTTGCCCGGTGGGATTTCTACGTTACTTAGGCATTTTTATATTTGAATTGATGAATCTGACCTCTCATGAGAAAAAAGAAAAACAACTAAGACAGTGCTTCTTTTCTGATATAAAATTGCCACGTTGACTTCTACAGAGCTACAGAAATCAGAGCTTCTACAGAAATCACTAGTCATACCTTGATTCTCCTGATTATCTCCAAGAAAGACCATATACAGTACTACTGCTGTAAATCAGTTAGTTTTTTCTTTACCGATAACTACAGACCTGAGATATCCTGAAAAAAAGAAGAGAAAAAGAAAGAAAGAAAAAATTTGAAGAAAAAAAAGATTAGTTTCTTTTCCGTATTTGGTAAAACTGTGTTGCTGTTTTTTATGGTTTTTAAATCCATCTTTCTTCTTTATTATGCCCTTTCACTTGTGGGGTAAATTATGTCTTGGTATGCAAATGAGTAATCAGGGTAATGTCTGCTATCATCCAAGCCTAAATACCTAAGTGGAAATCATGCAAGTGTCTCAATGATTGGGATTTTCTAAAAGCAAATCAAGCGTTCAAACCCGAGAAAAATATTGTATATGCAAATTTGTGCCCTTGAGTACACTAAAGACGGGATATTTGAACTAGTATGAGAGTCATACCAACTCTGAGCTTGTAGATTCATCAATCGATGCCAGTAGGTGCTGACTATACGCATTAACTCACGTCAGCGGTCTCACTGGTGTGCAGTTAACGCTTATTGTCAGCTCTCATGTCTGCACTTTTTTACACACTGACATACCACAATTATATATATATTATTCTACACAATGACTATTGATTAAAAAAAGAAAAAAATCTAAAATTATGAAAAACTGTATTTTAAGAAATGCTACTTTGCTGGGTGTGTGAGCTTCTTAATTAGCATTGTTAGTTTATAACTCTAAGATAAAAAGGTTTTTTTTTATTTAACTTTCTTTCTGGACATTACAGTATCAGTGAATGCTTCCAAAATCAGAAAATATGAACAACCATCCAAAGCTAACATACCTTGTATCAGTTAAATGTTATGCCTCTGGCCCTAAATGTCAATAAAGTGACAGCAGAAAGAAGCTTTATCTTTCTCTTGTCACATTTCACCTGCACAGTATTGCAGTTTTGGAGCCCTTTTGTCTCCTGTGGCTTTTTGATGTGTCACCCCTGAAATTGTCTTACTCACAGTTGTAATCGCTTGCAGATGGTGGATGTTTCACCTTAATAAGCAGTTTTTTCACGCCGTCCTGCTGTGACCGGCGCTGTGACAGACCCATCTGTTTCCCACCAATAGATGCTGCATCGCCATTATTCTGGTGGATAGAAAACATGACAAACTCCAAGCTGAGATGAACAACTGACGGTTTCTTTCTCATCGTTTTTTTTGTTTTACTGCAAAAAATGAGGGAGGGGTGCTCTGTTTTGTAAATTTACCCTAATTATTTACAGTAAAACTATATATATATGTATGTATGTATGTATGTATGTATGTATGTATGTATGTATGTATGTATGTATGTATGTATGTATGTATGTATGTATGTATGTATAAAACGGTGTGGGCCAAAGAGTAATACCATCAGAGTTCAAAGAAAGAAATAATAAAAATAATATGACAACATTTTAGTAGACAGCTGTTTACCCACTGATTGTTAGGCAGTTTTGTCTGTTTGTTTAGCTTGTATAGTTGTGTTGACCCAAAAACATATTGTTGAACATCTTAGCTAAAGATTAACTTTTTTTGGTATGCATGCGGTTAATGCCTGAACAAAATCTTGAGAGGAAAACACAGAAAACTGAAGAAGAAAAAAGAAAGAATCGTGACAAAAATGTGGAAGCTAGCATTTAAGCTAGCAATCTCAAGAAGACCAAGGTCTTCAAAACATCTATGTCACCAAATAACAAAATCAATTATTAGAAAGTGATGGTCAATTTTTTTTTTTAAATATAGGAGGCTTATCAACAGTTAAAAGAAAAAAATTAGTCAGAGTCATTACCATCGATATTTTGGCAACATGACTTTCACCATGGAACAACCCCATCAGAACTTGCTGGTCTCTAAAGCCAGCTAAAGCTAGGTGACAGCCTGGCCTTTAGCTGTGAAAGAAGCTTCGTTGAAATCACCCTGATTTTTAGCAGCAACTCTTGCCCCTCCTCTCTCCCTTAGTGCCATCCTTAGAGGCAAATGTCAGCTAATTAAGGGTTACACGTTCGACCTTTCTGAGTCCCACCTGTGCCTTCACCAGTCAGCCAGGTTCCACGCTAACAGGTTGTCCCTTTCTGCATACTCACAAATTCATATTCACGTTCAGCTTTCCACTGCCTTTGAAATGCTAAAGACTGCCGTGATCCTCAAGGGCAGTAGACTCCATTAGACGTAACGCGAAACGGAGGATATCTGTATTAAAATCCAACCTCTAGAATGTTGCATTTCACCACAGCATGCATGTTTGATGTATTTGATTCCTCACTTGGATACAATTATCCTTTTTGTCCCTTTAAAACTCTCGTTGGTACAATAGTCAACTAAGAAAACAAGAGATTTGGAAAGAGCTACATCTATTTTTTTAACAGGGCAAAAGGTGGATTTCAAATCAAGTCACATCAAAAACGCACAGGTGAAAATGGTAATAGCATCATTGGAATATTCCCAGTGTAGAAACCACTGAAACATTTATGAAAAAGCATATGTAAAAAATTCAAAAAGAGGAAAATAACACTTCTAAATTGTGATTTGAATAAATAAATGGAGCTGTGGACTGTGTTACTGATGGTCAGTAGGGAAATCAGCATTGTTTGTACTGGCTTGTTGTCTGGGATAGAACAGACAAATGTGGAAGAGATGCAAATGATAGTTTAAAAAAGCCAAAGAATTGTGACTCAGAATAGAAGATAAGAAGACAAAGAAACAGGACAGGCTGTGACTTTGAAGAAGGATTAGCACCTGCTTCTCTTCTCAGGTGTCTCAGCTTCAGCCTTAACTGAACGTGCTGTTCTATCCTCGCCTCAAATGCATGGGCTAATCTTTTGAATGCCCATATTCACCTGGTACATATTGGCCCGGCACATAGCCACGATAAAGCTTTGGTTTGAGATAGTATACCTTAACTTTATTTTTCACTGTTGTGATTCTGCTATCACCTGGTCATGCATGGTTTGTGTTTCTAGTGGGTAAGGAAGGAACTTAGAAATTAATGTGGACTAGAAAATCCCCAAAGCAGACTGAAATGATTTGTGCCATATTTGAAAATTGAAATCTTATCGGTGGTAAATAAGACATCACACCACCACCCACAATGGTTTATTTACAGGTGAAGGGTGGGAAGTGTGATGCAAACCAAAGTTTTGTGTGAAAAGTAAAGGAAACTTTACAACTTACAACAATATCTTTGTTTAACATGTTGACTGTAACAAAAGAAATAATAGTAATAGTAATAATAAGCCAATGAGTTCATCATTCCTGATAAAGAAAAATATAACAAATGTTTACCAAGGAGATGTTTCACCTGTAATAAGAGGGAAAAGAAATATAGAAAGATAAAAAACAATGTAATTACCCAAGAAGAATATTGGCTCAAAACATAGCCAACAGCCTTTTTGACAATGGCGCTGCAATAAAACATAAGTAAAACAGGATAGCCACTTTAAGTAATGAAGCCATCTCTTTTGGATCACAGACAAGCAAACGTGTATGCTGATCCAAATAATTATCTACATACCTTTGAGTATTTACATATTTTGATTTAATATTTCCATCAGAGAAAAAGTCTAATTTCAGATACCTACAAATAAATATATATTTAATATATTTAATTGATAACATGTACTAATTCTGCTGTTCTATGTGATTCTTTTACAGAGACATCAAACCTGACAATATACTACTGGATGAGCATGGTAAGATACTCATATTTTTGCTTTATTCATGCAAGGATTTATTTTCCTTGCACAAAGGCTAACAGAATATTTAGAAAATATATTCTGAAAGCATTTAAGCAAGAAGTACATACTTTGCTCATTTTAACTGTTATCCAATTTTACATTTAGTCCAGGTGCTTTTTTTCCCCCTAAACTGTCAGTCTGAGTTGGAAAAATGGGACATTTCCCAAATTTTCTTCAAACAATAGGATGGGATGAGAGGCGGTAATATAATAAGAATGTGAAGACAGCTGATAGAGAAAATCCAGCTCTGAACGATGAAGCCGTTCTTAATCATTTGGAGTTATTTCACAGGAATAGAAGACGACTTATGAACACACATACAGTGAATAATAGGAAGAGAAAATAGTGTGTGTGTCCGTGTGCCTGTGTGTGCGTTTGCGAGAAGAAAACAATTGTAAATCAAGGCAGCATTGATACGACAGACTGTAAAATCTTTCATCAAAATGTTAATGAAGAGAAATATAAAGTATTTCATGTTGTGACTCGTATAGAAAAAATCCTACACAGATGTACTGAGACATAAAGCTGTGAATATGACCAAATGTGTGCAGAGAGTGTGACATTTTCCACACATAAAAAAGGGCTTTAGCATGCGGATGAAATTTGAAAAACAAGAGCAAAACTAAGGTCATCAAGTTGATCAAGGTGGAGTTGGCTAAGGATCAAGACAAGACAAACTCTTTAAGACCCTGCTATGTTTTAGGAGTTATGGCGTTTCCATAACGTTTTTCTATAAATCCTTTTTATTGGACACTGCATATTCTTCTTTATTCGAAAAAAACTTAGCATTATTCATAATCTATCCATTTTTAAACCTTTCACTCTTTCATATGTTATTTATTTGACTGCTTTTCTCTATAGTTTCTCCTCCAACCAGTCAGGTTTTGCTCTTCCTCTTTGTGACCTCAGTGAATATAAATCTAAATGTGTTGCTTATTTCAACTTCATTTCTTGAAATCTTTTCCTGAACAAAATCTGAGTCAGGTTACAAGTAGCATATACAGTAGATGTTTTCTCAGATGAGCCATTTGCAGTGGATATACAGGCCCAGTGTTGGGATTCAGAGTCTGAATTTATTTATTTTTATTTTTTTGCTTAATTTAATTTAACTTAATACTTTTTGCCCTTTAAGCTGCTGGTAACCTTAATTTCCTGAGGGAGTCTTCCCAAGGGATCAATAAAGTACTGTCTAAGTCTAAAAAAGAAATAGTGGCCATCAGCTGGAATTTGGGGTCATTGATTTTCTTTTTCTGTATTCATTTTCGTTCTTGAACTGACCGATTAGCACTGTAATCGGGACATTCACCCGCTAGTCAAATGTACTTCAGAGTGATTTATCCTGGATTGATAACAGCCCGACTTTTCATGTCATGTACTGTGATACTTTGCATTATGCACACATGGACCAACGACAGGGGCAGACGACAGAAAAAGTCCTGAGATCTCAGAGGGCACAAGGCATCTGCTCAGGGGAGCTGAGGGGGGATGTGGGTTGACAGTCCTGCTGTCAGTTAAAAAAAAAAAAAAAGGAAAGTGGACGCTGGCAGAGACAGACTTAAAGCTGAGAGGGAGATAGTATCAGAAAAACACAGAGCCACAAAGACAGGGAAAGAGTAAGAAATGTGATGAGCGGACGTTTCTGAAACAGGTTTTGTCAAAAATGAAAAACTGAAGAGAAGGAGAGAAGCATTTAAGGTGAACATAGATAAAGATAGAAGAGAGAGAAAGGGCTTAAAGTTTAAAATGCAGCTTTGTCAGCTTTGTGCCTGATTTCCATAGGACAACAGATGTTCACCTGTGGTGTGTGTGTGCATGTGTGTGTGTGCGTGTGTGTGTGTCAGTACTCATAACCATGGCAAACACTTTTCTCCTCTTCACGCACTCAGCCCACGCTGTTTTTATACATAGACCTGTAGTTTGCCACCCCACTGAGGGCTAAAAAAATAACAACAAGAGGCATCAGAGGGGGACAGCAAGCGTTTCTGCACGTTTGAATTTTGCAAGCCGAAATTGACCTCTGTTGCTGCATCCCTCCGGGAGAAGCTCCACATAGAGAAAAACAATTTGCCCCGGCACAAGTGATGTCACTTTGTTAAACAGTATAGCCCGGGGTTGATGGGAGATGGATAGACTGCTTTTGATTAGCTTAATGGCTGTAAGTTTGTTTTTTTGTCTATATGGTCAGGGGAAAACAACCTATTTTTATGGTACAACACTCATCATACTAATCCACAGTTTTACAATAATATTAATGGTATCTGTTTCTGATATAGTTCAATTTACGCAGCCAGATAAGCATATCTTTGACTTCTAGAGCCATGTTGCCATTTAATCATTTTTTTCTGATGGGTTTTTCTTTTGAAAAAGACCAGACCAGAATCAGAATTCATCAAGAGCACTGACTAAGAACTTGGAAACTTTTTCATGGTCAAACATTTATGTATTTCCTGGAAAATAACAATCTATCTATAATTTGATTGGTCAAAAAATTGCAAATAATTGTGTTTCTGACTACTAAAATAATATAAACAATGGTCACAAAACCCTGCACAAACACAAAGTCTTTTATTATTTGATATGGCTCTTCAATGTAAGGGGCAAAAGTTTTCTGTTCTGTGGTCAGACCGATTCCTGGGATTAAGATTGCTGTTGGAAGCGTCTCCTCTGGAAGAATAGTGGCTTTGGAAATTTGTCATAGCTCGGTGCTAAAAACGTTTGATTTCATATGGTGTAGGCATGCACTCAGGCCTATATAGCCACCAACTAACATGTTTTGAAAAGCACCAATGATGCTGGGAGGTATAGACACATCATTTTAGAGTTTTATGGTGATGTCTAATTATGAGGGGGTTGTTGTGCATTTCAGCAATACAAGGCTAAACATTTGTAGAACTAAAGCCTCTTAGTCATGTTTTTGTGACTTAAAGACTTACTCAAAGATCATGAATGATGAATACCATTTTCCAGGTCATGTTCTTTTTCCCTTGAAAACTGGCAGAACCATTGATCAGGGACCTAAGGGTTAAAGCTTATAATTTGATTAAATTATATGTTGGCTTTATAACCTTGGGAAATGATGTGGAGACACAAGGTTTCATTAATCTAATCAGCTATATACATTAAGTAATTTGGACGATCTCGCACCACAAAAAAGTTCACGCAGGAGCCAAATTGTTAAATTTCTTATTGTTTCCAAATTTACTTCTAGAAATGAAAGTTGAGACCCATTTTCACTTGTGCACGCGCAGTGGAAGTTATTAGTGAGGTTTGACTCTGTGGAACAAGTGAGCAAAGTCACATAAAAAACAGAAAAGATGAACAGGAGAGTGACATAACCAAAGGATCAAACCTCAACAGCTGTGGAGGTAATCCCAGCAGAACATGTTAGATAACTAAGCCACTGCGAGTCTCACTGACTCTTTGTTTAGTCTAGTCTAAATCCACTTTTGCTAAACTCACAATACGCCCCCAAGCCCGAGCAATTTATTCACCGCATCTCGCCGGTGTTATTTAATCACTGCTGCCGGGATGATGCTTTCTTCTCCACGAGCAATGTGCGCTCAGATATTTCTGATATTGAGCTTTGATATTGATGCCTGCTGACTTGCTCAGGGTTTACCCCGCCTCTCGCCCCGTAGTCAGATGGGATAGGCCCCAACCCCTCACCCCCAGCCGGATGACCTCGTTGGGAATAAGTGGTAAAGAAAATGGATGGATGGATGTCTTTCAAGGGTGAAACAAGCAGCAAAGTGCCTATTGGGTCTATATTGTGACAATAAAACTCTGTGCTAATACTGAAGAAAGCATTAAAAGCAACACAACACAGTAGACATGTTGTCAGAAAACAAAAACTGAGTAATCGTAAGAGGCTAAGACAAGATTCAAAGTTAATAAAACAGACTCTATGAGTTTTATATAATGTAGGAAAATGGCAGAAGAGAGCGCAACTTGAGTGTACAAGGATAATTAATGAGAAAAAAAAAGAATATACCTGCTTTCATGAGCTGGTTTGTCACAACACCTCTTAAATATTTTAAGCCCAAAGTCAGCAGCCTTTGTACATTCTTAGATTGTCACACATTCTTCCAAACAGTCGCTCTGCAGCAAGTACTCTCTCCCACTCTTACTTTTATGAAACATACAGTATGCAAACACACACACATAGCAACCTCAGCTCATTAGTGTGTGATCAGCGAGCATGGCAAAGACTCAAGGCCATCTAGCAGCATGGCGAGACACAGGTCAGTGGTTTGACTTTGGAAATCCACTGACGTTGCTTCTCCGCCTCCCTCGCAGTATCAATAAAGCGTTTTGCGTTTAAGCGTTCATTTGCATTGGACTCCAAAAAAAGAAATCTTTTGATCCTCGCTTTTTCCCCTTGAAACAGTCATACAAAACACTGCATACAAAACAGAAACCTGTCTGATTGACCAAGCTTTCCTTTAGATCACGAGGCAGCATGTGGGAAGAAAGAAAGCCGGGGGGGGGGGGTTTCTTAGTAGAACATCGCCCCGAGTCATACGCTGCTTCAGCCATTAATCCATGATTCTTTGTCACATACTACTACCCAAGTAAACTTCCTTCACAGAAACAGTTTTCCCTGATGCCTGTTGGATGGTTAAAGGCACAACAAGTGGGGTTAGTCTTTGCCCCGTCCGTAATGCTCTAGATCGGAAACTGTTAAGGCAACTGTGGAATGGGATTGCTAAAAAAAGTCAAAACCAATCCCAGTTTACAGGAAATAGAGGAACTGTTGTAGATGATTTCGTGAATGATTGTGAATAAATGCAACAAAACAACATCACATAGCGACAGGAGTATTTATTTACGCGCTCAGGGCTGTTTTTGACAGCAGGAGGGACACGTTCAATATTAAAAAGGTGCTCAATGTTTTCTTTTTTATATGAAATGAGAGGATAAAGTTCACTAAACACCCCCCTGTTTATCATCTTTCTCATTTACAGGGCACGTCCACCTAACAGACTTCAATATTGCCGCAATTGTAAAGGATGACCTTAAAGCAACGTCCATTGCAGGAACCAAACCATACATGGGTGAGAGAAATAAACTTCTTTAAATCTTTACATTTGATCTTTGTGAAAGCTTACACCTTATTGTTTAGAATAGTGGTTTCTTCACATCCCCTCTGTTTGGGATTACAAAACAGCCACAAGCATACCACCGTGAGCTTAGCAGCTCATTAGTTTTTATTGTTGATATTTTATCTGAATACATTCTATGGTTATAGTTAGTTTCCTGCTGAGTCATGCCTCTGAGAGACATTTTTTGCCTGTGTGACTATGCTTATCTAAGTTCTGACCCTAGTTTATCTTTAACTCGGTGTGGCAGGCTCTAAGCTAAATATGGTGGTATAAGAGGTCTCTTGTCGGTACTCGGGAAGAGAGTGAAATTTTAAAAAAGCAGACAAAGCTTCAGCAGATAATAACTTTCCTCCCAACATGACAGAACTCAGGAATGCGTGTGGAAGAATAGATACTTTACCTCAGCAAAAGGAATAGAGTGAAAGCAGTTTACCTGCTGAAAATTATTAATTAGAAAAATGATCTGGCAGTATATGCATTCAAAACTACATCCCAATAACTAACTTTCACTTCTGCCCCTGCACCAGATGACTAGTTATGATCTAATACTCTGATAAACTATGAGCTATTCTTCCATAGATACAATGCCAATGTTTTCTCTGGTTCTAATATCCAAATCACTACCTAAATCTTTTTTTTTACTTGACCTATGACAGACTTGGCCACCTTGAGTCATATCTCTCTTTTTATTTTGCCCACTGCTTATAATGATTAATGAAGCTCATTCGAAAAGAAAAAGGGGTTTTTAACTGTATATCTGTCAGAGTAAGAATGCACTGAACAAGGTCATTTATGCAAGGCATTTTTGTGCTGCATTCTGGCCGGTCTGATTAAAAGCTCTATGAAATCTTTCACAAATGGTAAATAAACTCAGTGAATTATTAAGAATAATAAGCCGCATTGTGATTGGTTTTCTGGAAATTAAATGAAAGTCAGAGTCACAATGCATGGTCGAAATGAATGTGTCATAATTCCGTCGGACCAAATGTCTTCCTTAGCTCCTGAGCTGTTCCAGGCCATCGAAGGGTCCCACCCTGGCTACTCCTTCTCTGTCGACTGGTGGTCGCTGGGAATTACAGCCTATGAACTATTAAGAGGACAGGTAACATAAAAAATTGCTGTGTCCTGTCACTCTGACCCCCCCCCCCCCCCCCCCCCCCCCTCCTTTGGTGCAGGCTGGCACACTCATTTGAAGTCAATAATTCATTTGACAGTGACAAGAACGATGAAAAAAAAAAGCCCAGGCTGTGGAAAATCACAGACAGAAAAAGAATCCTCAATTTGAACAGATAGTGAAGTTTTTGGATTGTTTATCAAAGTGTGGTTGTGTAACATCCTCCCTGCAGGTGTTCTGCTGACGTGTGCCCAGGAAACATATGAACCACTCCCTACGGAGTCACACAAGTCCCTTTAAGAAACATTAACTTTGCCTTGGAGCTAGAGGGAAAGATGCATTTGAGTCTCGTGGGGGCGAAACCAATTGTAAAAAAGAAAGTGACAAAACAGAATGAGTCATGCCAAGAGCCATATCATTTAAATTAATCATAAAGATGTCATTTGTTTACTTCACAATGGTCCCATCTGGAGGATTTTAATTGTGATGTCATGGAAATGACACGGGTCAAATTGTGTTAATTTGCGCAGTTATACCCCAATTAGACCCAGTCTTGGAGCTGAAACAGTGTGTTTGTGGAGTCTTGTCAGATTGCAGCTGTTAAATTCCCTCTCGTATGTTAACAGTGACTCCCAAAAATGTAAAATGTGTCATTTAATCCACCTAAAATCATTTCTTGATATGTTTCTGCAATTTCCTCTCACTACAAATGAAATGGTTTACTTTTTCCTTACTTTTTCTTATGTCCTCTAATGCATTATTTTCTCTCTTTGATATTAAGTCATCCAACCCAATGAAATATCTTAACCAGTCCATCAAGTTTATTGAATCTCAAATCCTGCCGTAATCCCCTTTTAGAAGTTATGGCATTTCCTGTCCTCTGCCTGAGCTGAGGGCTTCTTCCAGCTTTCATCATCACAGGAAAAATCATCCTGTGTCCTGTGGTTAGAAAGATTCTCTTGACCTTATCTTATTCAAGTGACTCAGACTTTTGGCATTTTTCCACACATTCCACCTTTTTGGGAAGTTCTCACATTCTCCCCAACAACTGTTTTTCCCTTCATCCTCTTACTTTTCTCCAGATGTTGTATTTCATCCGCATCCTTAACTCAAACTTCAGATTTTGGAGGTCGAAGCTGCCCCTCTGGATGTAAAAAAAATATCTGGCTGTTAGAATTTGAGATCCTCCCTCTCAATTTTTGAGCCCCGGGCATTTTCGAGTCTTGCGCCTCTCTACTTTTACTTACAGTCTTTGCTTCAAGCTCCTTTTCTTTCCTTCTCAGCCCTTATGTCTCATTGATTTCAGCACAGGTTCTCCTTTTCAACTTCCTGATCTGAAAAAATAGCTAGAGGACAATTACTGAACTTTTTTCCAGACTCACAAATCAGTCTTTTTTTTCCAAGTTTACAAAAGTTTTTGACTAAAGTTTACTAAACATTTGAACTATCATCGGACACCAAAAAGTGCAAGTTCAATTTCCAAACTATTGAAAAAATATTTTAAAGATCTGCATTTTTTGTTCTCTGAACCTCCTCTGAGTGATATGATGCTTATTAGTATAACAAAGGAAAATCAAAACTGACTAGATATTTGCACCTTAAATATGAGTTTTAACATTAAGTCTCATTTCCTCTCCTCCTCTGTCTTGATTTCAGAGACCATATGTGATGAGGTCCAATACGCCCGCAAATGAAATCCTTCAAACTTTCCACAAGGTCCATCCCAGTTACCCAGCAGCCTGGTCTTTGGAGATTAAATCTCTTATTAGAAAGGTAAATGAAATAAATGCTTGTGATGCTTTGTATACATGTTCAAACAGATATTTTAAATGATCCACGTTTAGTTTCTCATGGCAGTCTAACCCGTGAGACGTTTCTCTCCTGTTTCATATATTTTCCTCTGGGAAGATAATTATACACAACTCATGCCGATGATTCATTAGTAGCTACAGAATCTTAATTAGGGTTTTCTTTCATTGCTGCAGCTCCACTTCCATCCAGCAAGGTTTTTTTTTTTATTATAATCACAGAGAAAACGTTCTTAGTATTCAGTATCAGTGCTCAGTAACATCCCCCTTTTATATATTTTAGCTCGTAAAGGTTTTTATATAGATATATGGAGAGAGAGAGAGAGAGAGAGAGAGAGAGAGAGATAGTTTTTCTAGTTCTCTCTGCAAAAGGCTTCTAGTTCTGAGTTCTAAGAAGTTTGATGCTGTTTTCATCAAGTCTTTCTGTTGATTTTCAATTCTGTGTAAATCAAGGTTGTCTTAAATAACAGCTGAAAAAGTCATCTTTGTGCAAGTGTGGGTGCAGACTGCATCAGAACACCAATAATCCACTTTCTCCTGAGTCATCTTCATTATTTGTTATGTTGAAAAGAGTTGTGATCTCAATTTCTGTCAGTCCTATTTCTACCAAAGAGACATCCACCATTTTGGGTTACTTAGTGTATGTTTTTGCATTCAAAATCTGTAGATTTCAATTGTTCTGTTATTCTTAAAACTGTTTAACATCAATCAGTGCTAAATCTTTGCTGCTAATAATTGGAGAAAGAGACAAGTCAGAGTCCTCTATGTACAGGACTTCCATGTGTGTAAAAAAACAAAAGAACTGGAACTTTTCAGATGTAGTCTTGTGCATCCTGCTTCGTGGCTCTTTCCTCCAGTCAATGAGTATATAGTCAGTCTACAGTATATAGTTGGGGTGGGGATTTCTGCCATTTTCCTTCACGATTTGAAATCATGTTGTTCTGCCGCTCCTCGTATAATGCATTAAGTCGTGTGCCGTTTGGCTGCAGAGGAACTTGATGAACCCTCACAGGCCGGTGACGATGCAGAAAATTATGTCACACAAGCAAGCAAAGCCGAGTGAACACAGAGAACGTGTGCTGACTTTAAAAGAAATTCGGATCATTCGCCGCTCTGGCACAGTCCTCACAGGCTAATTAACTTAACCTTAGTTAATGATGTTGAGGGTTTGTTCTGGATTCAAAATGTTTTTCACTGTGAAAACATCGGACACATTCGCTGAAAACGTTTGGGATAACCTTCAGCTGTCGCCTTTATGCCTCAAGGAGCTCAGGTTTTGTGCATATATGAGATATTCCTTTCATTGGTGCTAAAACATTTGCATACCACTGCAGGTCTTAGGTGCAAAGTTAACAAAACTCTATCCCTGATGAACATATACACAGGAGCGCATTGGCTGTTGTGGGACGTCAACTAAAACTGTCAACTATAACTATGTCTTACCTAGAATTACAATAATCTAGACATTTTTGCCTTTACAGTCTTTACCGTACGTCAAATATAGTTGCCAAAAATATTTTTCTTGCCTCCATAAGGCTGCTTGTAAAGCTAAAACATGCCCTGTTGTAGTAGCATTGGGCTTTTTCTTGGCAGCTATCCACTGCAGTCAAACTGTTGCATTGCTTCGTGCTCAGACTCCTCGAAGCTCATTGGCATTCCTCTTGCATGTGTGTGAATGTGTGTGTAGACAGTGAATGGGATGGTGTCTGCGTGTGTGCACGACAACAAGAGCGGAAGATGAAAAGAAAGTGAAAATAACAGGGGGGAAGAGTTACACGGACGGTGCATTTGTCCTTCATCTTTCACACCTAATAACCCTCCTTAATTTGCCTCCTACATGCATTTTATTTCCCCCGTCCTCTCCTTTGTCTCCTCCCTCTGTTGCTCTCCATCTTCCACTCCCTCCAGCTGCTCGTGTCCCTTCTGCTGTATCCTCCACCCCCAGTCCCACACTTCCCCATATCCTCATTCTCAGACATATCCTTAAGGGCAAACACATGCTCGTGTCTCAGCGGGACTCTGCCCCCGAACTTTTTCCTTGCTGTGCCACCCTGTGGACAGCCATTCTTACTCTCATCTTTTTTTTTCTTCTCCCCCTTCAGTTGCTATGCATGGATGTCCAGAAGCGCATTTCCTGTCTGGCAGAGCTTCAGGATCTGGACTACATGTCAGACGTCAACTGGGACGCAGTGCTCAGCAAACAGCTTCCTCCAGGCTTTATACCTAATGTGAGTGTCAGAAAACTGAAAAGCTCTACCTTCTTTTGAAATTCCTCGAAATCTTAAAATTGAATGGAATTGCTGGTTTTAGAATTTCTTCCAATACTAATCACAGATGCTTGATTCCAAATAAATTACACATTTTTGAAAAGGTAGCAGGAATAGACACCCCATTATTTAGAGCATAAAACAACATTTTGTGAATTTAGGTATTCGCTTAACCTTATTTCTGTGCGATGGTATGTGACGATAAGGAGACAAAGATGTAGCTACAGAAATATGGTGCCAGAAATACCCTCGGCCGTCAGTTGGTCTCCCCCTGTCGGGCCGTAAACACCACCCCCTGCTGGGTGAGCTAGCTCGCCCGCTGAGTGTGAACGGCGGCTGTAGCTGAAGCCACCCACTTAACTAGCCATACATGCTGATTTGACCAAATTGCTACGTGTGTTGTGCCGTATTGCTTGGGCCAAAAACCGTCCGGACTCCAAAAATACCCGGGTGCCATGTTGTTTCTGTACATAGAGGACAGTAGGCATACCACCATATGGTCGGTTGAAATGTTGAAAACGGATAATCTGACGAAAAAATGTGTTTCTGTGGCTGTTGGGTGTGTAATAAAAGGCAATGCAGATGTCTGCGTGGTGCTCTACAGGTGGCTCTGGTACGTTGGCAGGAAGTCAAGCTGCTTGGCTGGCAGGCTGATGTGCATTGCCCTCTACTGTCGGGCTCCAACTCTAACACACTACTTTAACAAAAAACTGCAATGAAAGCCCCAAAGAAATGTTGTGCTTTCAAAAATGATAAGGAATGTGCAACAATACAACATTAAAACAACGCTGTATTATATCATTGCATGGACTCAGAGATAAATAAATGAGTAATAATGAGTCTTGAAAGTAATTAGGTAACCAAATGATCATCTCCTTGTAAGACTATGCAGAGCAGAAGATACCATCATTGGTCAGGTTGACATGATGGAGGAAAGGCCCGGGAGAGAGGATCAGTGGGGTAGTGATGGTGCCTTTTTTTTCTAATAATAGACCCACTCCCTCTTTTTGGTGACAGACTTCTAATGTTGGTGGAAAAAAAACAACCATCACATTGAGTTTACATTTTCCAAACCATTCCTTCTTCCTCCTTTTTAGCTTCCTGTAGCTTAACATTGATTCTTCCTAAGAAACATTCATGATAATATCACATACTGTAGAATCCAAAAACCATATAATTATCATTTATCTAAAAAATATGTGAAATATTACAGCAGTCTTACCTTTCTTTCTTAACCTGCATAATTTGAGACACAGAAGACCCGCCTACCTCCATTTTTTTCTTAATTGTTTGTCTTTATGTGTTTCTGCTGCCACAGAGACGTAGGCTAAACTGTGACCCCACGTTTGAGCTGGAGGAAATGATCCTGGAGTCCAAACCACTTCACAAGAAAAAGAAAAGGCTCGCTAGAAAGACCAGAGACCAGGGCTCCGATGGGTCCCCTCAGGTAAGGTTTTCAATTGGAGACATTAAATACAGTTTATTGATGGGATGAGACACGAGATGAAAATACCCACCGTAGGATTTAGATTTTCCTCAACACTTAATGAAAGCAGGGATTTTGTTTGTGCTCTTATACAACAGTTGGAGCAGATCGATACCATTCTCATTGTTTTCACAGTTAACTGAATTGGATAAGATAATAAATGATGCGTGTTTACTTGCAAGTAGGACCTAGGTTATCCAAGACATTGACACATTCATTTGTAATATTAAGTGCTGTTTTCTAATTAGATTGGGAAAAAAACACTATCCTAGTTGTCGTGTCCATCAGGAGAAGTTTATTTACTAGTATCAAATAGATAGTCCAATTCCGCTCTTTTGTCAACATGTGAATTGGACAGTTTGTTGTGCCCCTTTAAAGAAAATAGCAAAACCCTTTACTTTGGCCTACAAAGAGGAGACGGAGATGGCCTTAATACACGGCGTGTTTTATGAGAGCTGACAGCTGTTTGTGGAGACTTGACTCTGTCTGTATATCAGCGTGCTGCTAGACATAATTTGTCATCTTCTTGCCAGGCACAGCTATATAATAACATAATGATAGAAGAAAACATTCTTTTTCTGTTTATGGAAAGAGAAGGATGCCTGGTCGGATTAGCATGTACCAAATGTAAGTCATTCTTTTTATTTTTTTATTTAACCTTTATTTAACCAGGAAAAAAAATCCCATTGAGCTTTAAAGTCTCTTTTCCAAGGGAGTCCTGGCCCTAATTTAGGAAATATCGCATGTTAAGGGCAATATTTACTCATTTACTGCAGCTTGCTCAGCTTTTTTTTTTAGTTGAAGCTTCAAGTTCTCTCATCTGCCATTGCATACAAGTCTCATCCACTGGAGCTTGTCCAAATTGTTGTGGCCAAACACCATTTTCTGGCATCAAATTTTGCAGCGTATGCTGATCTTTGCTTCTGTCTGTCAGGGAAAATACTTGCTTTGCTGTCTATAAATATCACTTTGTGTTTGCGCATAGCTCCAACGTATCCATTTACCAAGGGCCTGTGGGGCCACTTGAATCCGATGCATTTAGGTGACACACAAAGCGAGAAAGTGAGTGCTTGGGACAGAGGTAGATGTCTTTGTGGCATTGCTGAAGCATAGCAGATCAATATTGAATGAAGAAGATTGTTTTAATGTGTGCCCCAGTCTTTTTTGTCCCTTATATTCTTCCTCTGGTCTGATTTTTTTTTTCTTTTGCATATTCATCCTTTGTTCTCACATTTCTCTTCTCCTTTTCAAACTTTTCGCTCCTTTGTCCTGAGAGTCCCTCAGCAACATTGTCTGCTTGTCATCCTCGCTTCCCCCAATTACAGTAAATGTCTGTTTCTTCATCTTCCCGGAGCTGCTTATTTAATCTCGCAGCTCCTCCCTCACATTTTCCCACTACCCTCATAATGTAGTATGGAATTAGCTCAATTAAATCAGCGATAAAATACAGCAGAAAATTGGACTTGCACTGAGAGAACAAAATGAACTGGCATTCTTCCCCCTGCACACACACACACACACACACACACACACACACACATCCCCGTATCATGGGTGTCCATTAAATGTATCTACAGCAAGTCTAAAGTTTTCTTTCCAAGGTCATTGTGTAAAGTACAATGTTTGTCCGCAATAACACAGATAGAATAAAATAAAGAAGAAACAAGGAAACCTGTAATAGCTAACAAAAATGCTTCAAAACTACTGTGTTGGTTAGATGTTTTTTTTAAAAACTTTTTGGTCTATGCTGCAAAGTGCTTTTGAATATCACTTTGTTGTTATTGTTTTCAATGCAGTTTGGCATTGCTTAACAAGCTAACATTAGTGCACCTTCTCCAGGTTTTCTAGGCAAACTGTTAATGGAATAATTCACCTCCCTTCACAGAGAGCAGAACCTGGTGATGCAATCACTGTAAAATTGCACTGCAGGTAAATTTACCGGAGACTGCCCGTTTCACTCAATCTGTCTAGAGCCAGTGGTATGAACACTGCAGTCCACTAGTCGGTGGTAATATGCTTTAAAACTGGATGAATAAGCGCGTTGATGTAGTGGCAGAGAGAGGCAGAAGGCAGGAGTGAGACTGAGACTGAAATTTCTTGATATTCCAAGGCTTTCCATGTTAAAAAAAAGATAAAAACTCTCCTACACAATTTATTTGATTGTCATTGGTCGGTGAACTCCAAAACAGGAAGCAGCACTAATTTGCTTAATCATCTGAAAAAGTAGGACTCCAGACAGCATGATCGGACGATGACGGGTACAATCCATGCTTCAAACTAAAAAGCTCTATCTCATCAGTATAAAAAGCTGTCAAAACAAAGCGAGTTTATAACTCTGGTTTTATATTTCATAGCAAAATATAACTATGATATGCATCGGGACTTATGATCCAGACTTTTTTCTGGAATTTGGGATAAAAAGATTTAGTTTTTTACATTCATGGTTTTAATTTCAGGGTGAAAACATTTTGTCTTGTTTCTAAGTATGTTGCAAAGTTGGCATGGTCTCTATTAGGTTTGATTAATAAACTATTTTCTTAGGTTTTATAGTTGTTTCTTGTGGTGGTCATTACTAGTATACCTTTAAAAGCATGAGCAAAAATCTGATCACGAACAATCTTGAGATCAGTCTATATAGAAATTACGATGAGCCTTTTCTGTGAAGGTGTTTTCGTTTGCCATGTTGGTATCATTGACTTTCATAATATGATATCTAAACCGCATGGACATATGTTTACAGTGATGTTCTACCATAAAAGATACTACTGCAAAAGTCTGAGTCGTGTTGAGAAACTGTATTTTAGTTGATGTGGCACATGCCCTTCCCCCCGGCTTAAACTAAATCATTAAACATGCGAAAGTGAGAAAACTAATTCAAATTGCATAATAATGGAACAGATAAGGACGTGGAAGTGAGTCTGGGTTGTGTTTTAGGCTATTTAAGATGTTAAGAGCAGATATGCTCTACAAGGACTTTTCTCTAGAAAGATGCATCCTGTTCCACCATCATGGAGCCCCATAGGAGAATAGTTTGGACTATCTTGTGTGTGAGAGTGTGTTGTTTTGCCTTGTGTGTAGGAATGGCTGCGCTAGACCTAATGATCCTGTTAATTGAAAAAATGAGATGGCATTGGGTTGGGTGAATAATACACAGAGGTTTTTACTTCTAAATTACCATTAGATTTCGATTGCAATGTGCCCCTAGAAGAGTTACAGGGAGATTGTACACACTCTTCTTTTCCCATCCATCATGTCTTTTGCGTCTCATACATAACTAATAACTCATGTTTGACAAATAGTATTCAGTTTTTGTCCTCTGTGTCTTTATCTTTCTGTGCCCACCACAAGTACACTCTGTTCTCAGAGTTTCCATCAGGATCCTTATCTTCTTTCTGTGCTCGTGTCTTCCAATTTCTTTTGAATACTGCAGAGACAGTGTTCACCTGCAATGGGCCTTTTATGCCAAGTATGGATCTGTTTTGCCTTTCTTAACTTTTAACTCTTAACTCCCGCTGTTACCAATGTCTTTCTCCTACTAATTGATGGCTTTTAGATATCATAAGTTCATATTTTATGCAGCTCCAGCACCTGTCTGTGAAGGACCTGTCTGCTAGGCTATGTGAAAGAAACTCTAAATCAGCCAATTCATTGTTTTTAAGAATCAGGCTGACTGAGCTTGGAGAGGATTTAGTGCGTGTGTTTGAATCGCCTCATAAGGATGGAGGCTGCATTTCCCTCAATGCACTTAGAATTAAAAGGTTTGATTTACTCTATAAGTTCTTGATGATTCTGAAATGGCGGTGGTGCAATTTGTTGAGGCTTCATTATTTATCGTGAGTGACATGCAGACTTAGATATTCATAAGGAATGTATTGCCTTCTTGTGTCAGTGTGTTTAAGCTTGTTGCCCACAGAACCAAATTCACAGTATTTGGTTTCATGACAACAATGGATATTCAGAAATTTAAAAATTTAAAAATTGTGCGTCTCAAAAGCAAATTGTTACTGCAAGTTTTATCAGTAGCAAAAGGCAATAGTCATGTAATAGGGTCACAGTTACATACCTTAATGAGACCTCATTTGACTGAAGACTGTAAAGTATTTACCAACTCTGACATTTTCCCTGACCATGTCTTTAAATACCACATTTTCTAAGAAAAACTAAACTTTTCCCATACAAGTAGAAGAAAGCTTTTAATATAAGATGTATTGAAATCTGGAAAGAAGCAGTGAGGAGGAGCTTCAGGTCTATTAGCCTTCTCCCAGTTCTTTTCTAAAGTTCTGGATAAGGTTGTGTCAGAGCAAAAAAGCCATGCTGAATCCTGAATCCCTGAATTTTATATGTACAGTTCTTCCTTTTCAGAGTTGCATATCAGTTTAAGTTATACACACTATGGAACTTGCTTTGGGAACATTTTAAAGCTTATCTATGCAGTTTTTGAATTTTGAATTAGTTGCCTGAAAAGAAAATCTGAGGACAGACTTGCATTTTAGTGTCCTACTGAGTTAGACTGACTTCCTCATCTGGAGTTGTGCACGTCAAAACATATCATAACCCTGACACCAAAGCCACATGATTAACTCTGAAACTAAGAATTACGTTGTGTTTGTGTCTCTCCTCAGAATGGGCAGTTACAGCAGCGTTTGGATAACGTCCAGAGAGACTTTATAGTCTTCAACAGAGAAAAGTAAGAAAGTTCATTGGCCTGTCCTTGAACTTGAACCATCGATACTGACTCACACAATCACCAGGAAATTTTAATTAAAATGTGTTTTTTTTCTACAGGGAAAATTATATAACATTTAATAATATGTTTAAGATTTCATCAAAGCATAGTTTTCAAGAAGATTAAACGGACGCTCCTGGCTGTGTAACATAATCCTGTAAAATGATGTGAATGGATATTAAATGTGTGGCTGATTTGCATGCAGTAGAAACAGTATGCAAACTAACTAGATTTTTCTTTTTCCAAGTCAACAGTCTTTGCATTAGACACGTTAAATGCTGTGGTAAATTAGAATGTGTATTCTAATGTGGTCTTCTACCATGTAAGTTAATTATCAGTTAAGTAATTTAATGCATGTCTATTAAAATAATCAGGAATGATGATTACCCTTGGCAATCTTTTAGGTAATTACAGGTATGACAGTTAAATTACCAGAATGGGCACGAAAGAGCCAGTTAAATTGGCATGACTCTTTCTGCTGTTACATGGAAAATGTTGAAAATGAACTTTTTATTTCACCAAAACAGGTCAAGAAAGGCCTTGGTGAGCACTCCAGAGTTGTCCACGAGTGAGAAGAACAAGGCAATAGAAGACGGACAGAACAACAATGTTGAGCCGGCTGCTTATTTATCAGGGTAGACTTCGCGATCGGAATTCTGCGAACCATTACTTGCACCTGCCTACAGCTTGTAGATCGGCCATCTGCACACAGGGCGCCTACTGATCTGTCGGCACATGCACCCACAACTAGTCATCTATGTCCCTGCACTCCTCGATATTACGTGCAAACACAAAACAGTATGTCTTTGTGCGGTTCCGTCCATTCACAAAAGCCACATCGTCAAGAAACCAAGAGCTGCCGGGATGAACCGGACCCCTGGAGAAGCAGCCATGCTTTGCCGTCAACCGAAAGGATGCGGTGTGTCACTCATGATATGCTCCTTTACTGTATATCACTGGTGCTCCTATATCTGCTCAGCTTCTCCTCTGCACAGCATGCTGAAATGAGGAATAAGCCAGATCCTTGCCAAAAAAAAGAAGACGTTAACAAACCCGCTCAGCCTGGTTAACTAAAGCCTGAAATCTTAACGTTGTCACTTTGCTTTGAAACACGAGAACTTATCTCGGTTGAATAAGGTTATTTAGACATGATTTAGTTTTCCAGTGTTGGCTGACACATCTACATGAAACAGGATGCAAGTATATAGGCATTTTCAGAAATATTTGGGAATTTTTCTAAAAGGTAATACCATAAAAACACAGAAAACATTTAATTCATTAGCATGAAAAGTCTCTTTGATGCCAACGACACTGAAAAAAAGTTGTGAGTGAGGCGTTCAATGTCAATATTACAAACTGAACAAATGAAAGCCTATCTGAAGAAAAATAGGTCAAACGTAAGCGTGTCACAGTTGGGTATAAAAGAGTTTTCAACAAAAGTTAGAATTAAAAAAGAAAACTGATGTAACTTAATGTTAAACATGTTTCTAGCCCAACTTTCTTAAGCCTGATGCTAGCATCAAATGTGAGATTTATTTAGATTTTACGAGAATACTATTTGGATGGTTAGGACACTAGGAATCATTTATCTAGCTAAGACTTTAAAGTGAAAAATGCATTTTAGAAAATGTCCTACTTTTTTCTGAAAATATGGGCTGATTAGAATTTATACTGTCAATAGATAAAATAACTTTGGTTTCAAGAAATAAATCGTAGGCGGAATTATTAGAGCTAAACTGTAGGCTTGAGCATGAAAGGCTCACTTTATTGTAGCAACTATGTAGTTGTAGTGATCATTATGCTTAGCTTTGCTGGTTAAGCATATTAAAGATAATGTTGCAACATTTTCTACGTCAGTTGTGGATTGGGACATACGTTGCTGCAGGTCTCTCCTGATCTCTGGGCGGTTTAGATCTGAAAGCCATTCGTAAGTTTTGAAGCTATGATGGAATTTGATAAAGGCCTCAAGGAGGGAAAAAAAACAAGTTAGTCAACATTTTGATTAAAGTTTTTCTCAAACTCCTGAAAAACACCGGTAATATGGCAAAACCTGTGCCTCTTTCTGTGAATTGTATACCCGATTTTCGAGTAGAAAAGGTGGATGAAATTCATGTTTGCACCGAACATGGCTTTGCACATGCTTCTTTAATAATTGTAGCATTTATGCACAGAAAGATTTAAAAAAAAAAAAAAAATCTAAAGCTGTGAGTGGATACTTCTTCCCCTGGGAGTTTTTTTTTTTATAGAAGTGAATTAAGTTGACTTTAAGCTATATTCTGTTTAAATTATTGTGTACACTAAGTTTCATTGTTGTTAAATATGTGTTACTGTTCAGCCCTTTTTCTGTTTGATACAACCACTTACATTAGTATAAAGTTCTAGATGGATGGCCAAGCAAGCAACGTTAGTATGCTAGTCATTTTAAAAATCCTGGTAATTAATGATTAGAAATTCTATCTGTTGTCATACAATTGAAGGTATATTTTAGTCTCTAAATTCATTAATGTTGACACTTTTCTATTGATAATTGGTACGATGTTTGGACTTACCTTTGTGTTGCTGTTTTGTCAATGTCACTGATGTAATTTTGCAGTTCCAAAGGTGGTTTCCTTGTAGACTGTATGTTAGTGGGATAGTAGAAAGGGTTGACTGTTTTTCTTTGTCATATCTGATGTAATGACATCTTGGAATGGTTACTCTAAATGGAGAAAATATTGCTGAGTGGGATTACAAAATAATAAGGGTTCATTGCATCAGGCTAATTATCAGTGGCATGAACATAGTTTTTAGGCCAGGTAATACAATTCTCTGAAGAAAAAAAAAGTTTATCTATAAGATTAATTTAGTCTTGAGACATAATTGTTCCACATGTGGTTCTTTCTCACCTGTTTAGGTTCTCTTGTCTCTTGTCTCTGTGTTTACTGTAACCAAATGTGATGGAGTTGAAACTATTAAGGTGTGCCTTAAAAAAAATCATTTTCTTTTTCTGAACCAACATGGCTATGGCTCGTTTCTTTATTTCAAGTCTCTCAGAATGACCATACACTTTTGCTGCTTTATAAACTTTTCTTAATGAAATGTCGCCCTCTAGTGTTAGACGCACAACACTGCAGGGCCCCAACAGAAACAAAAGATGACATACAGGTTATCAAGAGCTGGGGTATAAAACTCCAGTGTTCCTGCAGCTTTTAGACATTTCCCTGATTTTGTAACCTGATTCTGATTACACTCAATCTCCCCTATGTATAATTAAGCTTTGCCTGCTAATGGCACAAGAGTGTGACTCAGCAGTCTTGAAATAGGCAAAGCTTTAAAACCCAAACAGCGACCCTTCAGGACCGTAGTTTGACACCACTGATCTAGAGGGTAGAGCCTTTTCAGCAGTCTGAGCTGAGGCGGCACTTTTCCTCATTAATTGCTAAAAAATATGGGAAGATCTTATCATTTTAGAAATGCCTCTGTGCCCTGTGTTGCATCATCACAGATAAGCAGCAAACCTCAGCATGTCATAGAAGGACAGAAAATATGCCGGAAGTCATGCATAAGCCATACGCGCAAAGATTTTAACCTTCATAAATAGGTAAAGAAAGGAAGAAAGCATGTTAAGGAATACTGATGCAGTCACACACGTTAGTATATTTGGAGGATATTGACTGCAGGGTTGTGAATGTCCCAAATTCTGTGAAATTGAGTGTCATGAGTTAATATATATGTTTTATAATATTTTAGTTCTCAGATATTTCTTATAAGAAATCAATTTTAAATGTACTCTTTTTCATTTTGATAACTCTTCTAAAGTCTGTCAACATATGCATAAGCCTAACCTATGGAATAAAATCAATTCAAAACACAAATGATAGTTGCAACTCATGTTTATTCAGGAAACAAATCATACTTCCACACCTTATTTTTGACCTGCCATCTCTGGGTTTTGATACAACAGTAAAAAAGAAACATAAAAACAGTAACAAAGGTTGTCAAACTAACATAAATACAACAAACCACTTTTTCGTGCCTGCCCCAGTCTGCCAAATGAAAACAGCACATCCTTCCAACCTCTCCCCACAAGGGGGCAACAACAAAAATGATTTTTTAAACTTCCCTTACTGCGCCACACTCCTCTGCCTTATCAGGAAATAGCAGACACATAAAGAAAAATGCCCCCCCAAACAGGATCAGAACCAGAGTATTTGGGCTCTCTTAGTTTCAGGCAGATGAATGGCTGCACTGGGGATTGTGTTGGAATGACAAGCCAATGACGGTCTTCCACTTGTCCTGAAATGAGAGCCCAGTTTGGTCAGGAATGGAAAAGTAAAGCTGGAGGTTAAGCGCTGTTATCCAAAAGCAGGTCTTTGTTACATCTAATCGTGTCCTTGTATATCTAATCAGGTGCCCTGAGCTGCAAAGCTCTTCATAACATGTTACACTTTAGCAATAAGGGACAGTTCATTCTTCTTACGTTTTTTGGGATCGCATTCTCATTTTTTATTTGTATTTTTTGCCCATCGTTCTGTTTCTCATGATGATTTTAGGATTACAACAGTAGCCAGTATACTAGAAGCAAATGCAAGGGACGGTTTCTTGCTTTTTTATTTCAACAACGCAATAAAGGAGTAGAGGAGAGTGAGACTAAGCAACTTTTTGGGGATAAAGAATAGTGAGATCATTCACATATACCTCTTTCCAATTCCTTTGTCTCCACAAAGAAGTCTTTTCTCAAGCAGAAGAATTTCGCTTATTTTTAACATCAATAATGAGTATGGCTTTGTCATGGGAATGGTACTCGGCAAACACATCAGAGGGGAAGGCGGGGAAAAGGATCATGGATCACGTCACCCATGTTGATGTGGCCCATGCAGGTCCATGTCCAACGACCCCCCCCCCCCCCTGCTCTCAGATTTGGTACATATCCTTTACTTGGTCCTGTAAACTCAAACAGGCTGCAACAACATCATTCACAAAGCTACATTACGTCTACCATATGTACAATGTCACCTACACCTAATCAATGGTACCGCATGGTTATGCCTAATGTGGGATCTAGTGTTAGGTTTTGCTGACTATGGAGAAAGCAGACTACTGAAAAAAAAGGGGGGGGGGGTGACACTGAAAGCCAAACAGGATGAAAGAACAATAGTATCATTCTGGGAAAATCTGCATCCGTTTTCCTTTGAGTACGCACTTTGTTTTCTTTCTTGGTTTAATGTGACAATGCAAAGTTTTACTGGTTCTAGTGTACTATTACCAAAGTGCTAAGAGATAATGTTTTCCCCTTCAGCTGTGGTGTGTTGTGTAGTGAGACGAAGGCTTTAACCTGTTGGGTGTTATGTGTTCTTTGATGGCAAATCCTAAACGGTTCCATACTCTTCAGGAAAAGGGACGCGATTCTCACTGGAGCATAGTAGCATTGTGACAGGTAAGGCATGAGGATTCAGTGTTTTGCTTTTAAAACTTTTAACTAATTATGGTCCTCTGCATCTCCTCCTCCTCCTCCTCTTCCTCCTCCTCCTCCCCGTTCCCCTCCCACCCACAATCTTGCACTCTGGCTGTTTTTTTCTGTGGGAGCGTCCCCTCGTCTTCCTCCTGTTTAACTAAGAGAAGTGATGTTGGAGCGACCGCCAGGGGGCACTACAATACGCCGTCCAGCAGGCCTGACCGGGACCTCATCAGGAGTGGGGGGGCCTGGAAGTAGAGAAAAAGGAGATATAACATAAAGAGTGCACTATGGACAGAGAACAAAGAGAGCAGATGAGCAGCTCAAAGCAAAGAAAAGAAAGAACCGATAGCTGAAACTGACATTCACTGTCCAAGCTGATAAGACATTTAAAACATCCTTTAAAATGTTTCATTTTCTCTTTTGAAGGGTTATTAGTTATTATAGTAGCAGACAGGAAATAAAGCATCACAACATTAACTTGAAACATCACAGCACAATAAAGGTGGACCCTGTTTTGAGTAACTAAAACAGTTTATGCTGTTTTTATGATTAAGAGGCTCTGCAGTGAGCAAAGTTATTGTATATTTTGCATTTATGGAAACTTATCTCAACATATGGGACTTCTAAAATACAAAACCTGTAATTCTCACATGTCATGAGTAAGTTATTGCTTCTGGAGGAAATTTGTTGTTGTTAAGGAACAAATGATGTGCTCCAGAGAGTAAGTCCAGTCCCTACCTAAGTCCCAAAATTCCCTCTCTCTGTGAATGCTGTGCATATACAGAAGCCTTAGGCACAATAGAAATGTAGCAAGGCAATAATTTATGGGAAAATGCAGTCTCCGAGTGAAACTAATGTCGGTATGTCAGTCGCTTTAGGCTTATCCAACATGTGGTAACTCTTATGCCATCATAGTCCGCAAATACTCCTCTCTCTAACTCTCAGCTTTGCTACTTTTCCAGGCACTGGATGGTCTTAAAGACATCATTATCGATGACAAACAGCGAGTGTCACTTAGGTGACAGAGGAATGCAGGTTAAAGAAGACTTTGAGCTGTATGAGTGTTGCTTAACTGTTATCAAAAAAGACTCTCGAGGCTGACATAAAGAACGGTGTTTCCAAAAGATGAGCCAGATTGTCTGCTGAGACAAATGACCAGCGAGTACATAAATGGAAAGTCAAATTATGTCAGCCTGTGATACACTGTGTCTAATCAAACAACCCTTCCCATCTTCTTCCAGAGAAATAAATCAACTCTGCAGGTGGTATCCCTGGAAAAAACTAAAACAGACAGGACACAGACTCATTCTGAGAGAATGCAAACATATGTGCGTACCCAAAAATGCACGCGCACATAAGAAGTACAAAGCCTGGGAAACTAAGAGGAGTCTCTTTCTTAAATTTGGAAATTCTTTCCAGCAAAGGTCACTTTTTTTTTTTTCTTCCTCGAGGTATCACACATTAGCTATGCTTGTAAAGACAGGTTGCTCACCACTGCCAAAGGCCAAACATGATTTTTATACTCAATATAAGTTATCACCGACCAGGTTATGAATACACGTCCAAAGAAATGCAGCTGTGTTCTGTTCTTATTAAACAAAGCTGGTTATCCCGCATTTAAGTCACACGTGGACAAATTCAGGTTGTCAGGAGGACAGAATCAATGAACCAGCAGTGGTTGCTGCATCCAAGTGTACAACAATGGGAGTTGGGAGAAATTCTTTTGCTTTTCTGTTTCTTATCCGATCCTGCGTGGACCTGACACATGGGCACGGTCATGTTGTCAGCAGCCCCACGCAATAGAACAGACATCTAAAAAACATACTACTGTGATCTCTCATATTACATTGGCCTTCCAAACAGACCATGTCCAGATGCCTGAACAGAAAACACTGTGCGAGCCTTAAGTCAAAACATATGAGAGCAAATGTCAAAAAATGTTTGTTTCTACTGGGGCTTAATTCGTCACAGGAGCTGTAATTAAAGGTCAATGTGCCCCTAAAAAGCCATTATTGTATTATTTCCAAGTCGTGATGAACTATGTGTAAGATTATTGTTCAGGAGGGGTCAAAAGGGCCCTTTTTAAGAGATGGTTAAAGAGAATGAAATCCCGACAGGTTAAGTAAATCAAACATTTCACAGGATTTATCACAACTTTTCAGACAAACAGGTTAACCTAAAAGACGTTCCAGAAATAAATTCACTGACCACAAAGTACACACTGTATATCAACAGTATCAGTGAAGTAATCCATCTAGTGGGAAGCCAATACTTGGACTGACACTATATTTATATGATTCAGAATAAAAGCAATGTGAAGTAGATGTAGTGTCATTCAAGGGAACATTCCTAAAAAAGGAAATCACTTAGAACAGCTTAATCTAAGTGAGTTAAGTGAAGTAAAACTATACAAGCAAACTGCATTCTCGTGAATCCCGTCACGGTATGGGCCAAGGGCTCAGCTTTTTCCAATCAAATTATCATCTGTTAGTAATACACAGACACACAACAGCACTGTTCCCCCGACTTTCATCAGCTGTATATGTTTAATGGGCAACAGTTTATATCAGAGATGTCATGACCACATTCTTATGTTTTCGCTGAACCTTTACATCGAATCAATAGAACATTGAATTGAATTGAATTGAATTGAAAGCCTTTATTGTCATTGTACACAGTACAATGAGATTTGGAGAGCAGCTCCGTAAAGTGGACACATAAATAACACATACATACATATACAATACATTAGTACAACTGGAGTACTAGATGTTGATTTAGTAAGGTGACAGCTTTGGGGAAGAAGCTATCCCTGAGTCTGTTTGTTTTGGTCCGTATTGACCTGAAGCGCCTGCCTGAGGGCAACAGGTTGAAGAAATGGAAGCCGGGATGGTTGGTGTCCCTCAGGATGTTTCTGGCCCTGCTGAGACAACGGGAGTTGTAGATGGCAGTCAAAGAGGGCAGAGGGCAGCCGATAATTTTTTCTGCAGTGTTTGTCACTCTCTGCAGTCGTTTCCTATCAGCCTCCGTGCAGCTGGAGTGCCACACTGTCACAGCATAGGTCAGCAGGCTCTCGATGGTGGAGCGGTAGAAGGTCACCAGCAGCTGAGGTTTTAGTTGTTCCTTCCTGAGCACCCTCAGGAAGTGTAGCCGCTGCTGGGCCTTCATGACCAGAGCTGTGGTGTTGCCTGACCAGGAGAGGTCTGCAGAGATGTGGATGCCAAGGAATTTGAAGGACTCCACTCGTTCTACACATCCACCGTTGATGTACAGGGGGGCAGGGGCGGCTTTCTTCCGTCTGAAGTCCAGGATGAGTTCCTTAGTCTTGTTGATGTTTAGTGCCAGGTTGTTTGATGCACACCACTCGCCAAGTTTCAGGACCTCATCTCTGTAGGCCGCCTCGTTTTCCCCTGTAATCAGCCCCACCACCGTTGTGTCATCAGCGAACTTGATGATGATGTTCTCTGGGTGGGCGGGACTGCAGTCGGATGTGTAGAGGGAGTAGAGTAATGGGCTCAGCACGCAGCCCTGTGGAGAGCCAGTGCTGAGAGTGCGGGAAGAAGAGAGGTGAGGACCCAGTTTCACCTGCTGGGGTCGGTTGACCAAAAAGTTCTTTATCCAGGAGCAGGTGGGTGGTGGGACCCCCAGGTCGGTTAGCTTAGGGATCAGAATGTCCGGTATTATTGTGTTAAAAGCTGAGCTAAAGTCAATGAAAAGCATCCTGACGTAGCTCTCCCGTTGCTCCAGGTGACTCAGCGCTGAGTGGAGAGCGATGGCTATGGCGTCTTCGGTGGATCTGTTAGTCCGGTATGCAAACTGGTGCTGATCCAGGGTGGGGGGGAGACAGGCTTTTATGTGTCTCAAAACCAGTTTCTCTAGGCATTTGGTGATGACTGGAGTGAGTGCAATGGGGCGGAAGTCATTGAGGCTGGTCGTGGGTGACTTTTTAGGGATCGGGATGATTATAGCAGACTTCAAGCAGGGTGGGATGACAGCTTGTTGCAGAGATATGTTGAATATGTCTGTGAAGACCTGTGATAACTGCCAAGCACATGCCTTGAGCACCTTCCCAGGTACTCCATCTGGACCTGCTCTCTTCAGGTTGGCACGAGCGGCGCTCTACAATGCTCTGTCGCCTGACCTGAAGGCTGAGTCACGGGCCCGGAGGAGCATACGGACCTGGCGCGTCATCCAGGGTTTCTGGTTTGGGAACACCCAGATCCTCTTTTCAACAGTGACATTCCCAATACAGTACTTGATGTAGGACAGTACTGCATCTGTGAATATTTCCAGGTATTCGTGATAGAAGGCTTCCCACTGTGTATTTTCGAAGCAGTCCTGTAGTCGGGGGAGGGCGTCCTCAGGCCAGGTGGTGATGGTCTTCTTTGTGGGCTTTGTTTGTCGACTGAGAGGGGTGTATGCTGGAGTTAGGAGCAGGGAGAGGTGGTCTGACTGGCCCAGGTGGGGAAGGGGTACAGCTCTGTACGCATGCTTGATGTTGGAATACACATGATCCAGAGTGTTTTCCCCTCTTGTAGGGCATTTTACATATTGGTGGAATTTTGGTAATACAGTCTTTAGATTTGCCTTATTGAAGTCCCCTGCAATGATGTGGACTCCACTAGGGTGGGCGCGCTGGTGGGTATTGATGGCATTTAGCAGTAGAGAGAGAGCCATGTTTACATTAGCGTCTGGTGGTATGTAGACTGCAGTGATGACAACAGCAGCTAGCTCTCTAGGCAGAAAGAAGGGTCTGCATCTCACCGACATAAATTCCAGATCAGGAGAACAGTGTCTGTCCAAGACAGTGCTGTTGTTACACCAGCCATCATGCACATAGATGCAGAGCCCGCCTCCTCTGTTCTTCCCGGAGTCACTGTTCCTGTCCCATCTGTGTAGTGTGTGGTCTACTAGTTGCACCGTGGCATCGGGGACTTGTGTGTGTAGCCATGTCTCTGTGATGATAAGCACACAGCAATCGCGAACATAACGGTTACCAGCCAACTGTAATTCCAAATCGTCCGTTTTGTGTACAATGGATCTGGCGTTTGTAAGGTAGAGGCTCGGCAACGGAGGTTTGAGTGGCTGTTTTCTTAGTTTTAGCAGTAAACCAGCCCTGCAACCTCGTTTTTGTTTCCTCTCGCATCTCCGTCTGCGTCGCCTGACAGACCCGTTAACAATCCACGGGGATCCCGTTGGTCTCGCTATTTCGTCCGGAATGTTGTGAGTTCGGTGAAAGTCGCCGGAGATGGTCATCTTCAATTTGAAACCGATGTCTAGTAAATCCAGACGGCTGTATTGTTTCATAATGTGTGTAAACGAACAAACAATATACGATAAACACAAAAGATAAACATTAAAAAAGCACTAATACGGAGAGCTGTGAGCCGCTGCGTCTATGCGCGCCGCCATGGCAACCATACAACAAAACAAAACAAAAAAAGAGAAAGAAAAATGACCATTTCAACTTTTTTTTAAAGCGTTTCTGGCAGTAACGACGCAGAGAACTTTATGATATCCATCTATATCATATGAAAAGATTATTGTTTTGACAGTAAAAAATGAACGACCTATAGACAAACACACTCCCCACTGTGTGTAAAGGTTGCTCAACAGACTTGAGGTTGATGGTCAGCGGTTTAACAATTAATCATTTACATTCACGCATTTAGCAGACGCTTTTATCCAAAGTGACTTCCAAAAAGTTAAAGTTAAAAAGTTCAATTCAACTATAACACCGGTTACACACTTACCTTGAGGATTTAACATTCAACTATAACATAGATTACACAAGTACCATACGTTGAGAGCTAAATGCTATCAGGAAATAAGTGCACTTATAGCTTTCAGTACAAGACATACTCTCGGAAGAGCTGAGTCGTCAAGCATTTCTTGGAATAAAGACAATGTGATGCTCTGATAGTGCTTGTAAAATCGTTCCACCAGCAGGAACCACAGATGAGAATCAGTCAATCAAGTAAGTCAAAAGATGCTCAAAACCCATATGACGAAGTGCAGTGAGACCGAGGAAGCATTAACGCACAGACTTTGCGTTTATATATTTGTGCATGCAGTAGGAAATCAGCAAAGAGCGTTAATAGGCAGGCACAGACACGGTAACACGTAGACGGTGGTTGTATAAAGAAGCTGGGCTCACCACAGGGTGCAGGGTTACCTGCTAGACTAAATCCAGACTGGTGCAGGTTTCTGACGGGTTGTTTGGTGGGAGAGGTGCGCGCTGATGCCGAGGGGGTGCCACCGCGGGACATGGAGAACTCGGACACGGGGCCGTCGTACATGCCCCTGGGCACGGCCCTCAGCACTGCCAGCTGCAGGGGGGTGGGGACAAAAAAACCGAATGAAGCTCAGGAAAGGGGAAGAATAATACGGAGAAAGAAACAAATAATAACATAACAGCATCGTCTGTTAGCAAACACAATCGCTGACACTGGAGAAGCACCAAATGCACTTTCTGTGTGCTTTTACGTCAAATTTATTTTTTTTTGTTCTGCCGGTGAACAAGCCATTGTCTGTGCGTCTGTCAGCGCCGTGACTCAGTGGAATCTTGGACGCTCCCCCAAAGAGTTAAAAAGAGACATCTGTGAACCAAGAAAGCATAACAGTAACGGCTACCAAGATAAACAGCGCACTGTTACTACAGCTCCATTTTCTCATCAGCGGCCAGCTGCGAATTAAGAAACTGTGGGGAAATTAGGTTTCAAGGGGCCTGAAGAACGATGCCAAGAGAGCAGAAAAGCAGGGTCCATGTGGTGCTCACGCTGGATAATTTCTCATTATTTCAATTCAGTGTGAATAAGTCGCTAGGAAGCTGTTTCTTGTTTCTTGTAAGCTGTTTGTATATATATCTATATATATATGGTATTCTGAAAAAATATATGTATATTGAGCACGCTGTACCATATTTCAAATAATCTTTTTTAAATAATGAAGCTGCCTGCAGTAACTTCCTTGAGTCTTGCAGCCAGCAGTATCCTGCCTGGCAACCAGTTAGCCATTATCCAGGAATGTCCCTTTAAACCTCTCGGGTCTTTTTGTGATTTTTCCTGTGATAAAGGCAACAGAATGTGCCATCTTATAACTCAGCAGTAAAAATCTGAACCTAGAATCTTTAGAATCTCTCTGAAAGAGTTACCCAAGTCCATACTCATCGTTTCCTTATCTAAACCGCAATTACAAAGCCCCGACCACGCATCGTTTGCTGACCCTTAAAGTTTACAACTGCTTACTGCTGTGTCTCTTCCACATCTCACTTCATTGCCTCATCCTTCTGTTCCTGACCCTAACCTCTATCTCAGTCCCAGTCTTCATATTTCAACTATGTCTGATGGCCTTAATTTTGACATTCCTCAAGTTCTTATCTATCTATGAATGTGCTGCAGGCTTCGCTTGCGGAATTATCCACACAAATATTTCTCCTTCCTCTATATTTTCTTGGATTTATGTATATATGGCTTTCCTGTCATGAGATACCTATCAATGTAACTATTATATAAATGTTTGCCCATTTTTAAAATTCAAAGTAGAGCAAAGAAAGGTTTCTAAAGGAGTCGTTCAGATCTTTTATGTTGAGCAACTCTGTTTTTACTTCAGCCTGAACTTATTATGGCAGTTTCATATTGAAAAGTTTAATTTGACCACAAACGAGTGTTACTGTAAACAAAGTAAACTGAATGCAAATATGCTTTGAAAGGACACGTACAGCACAATATGTAATAGATAGGACGAATGTGGAAAACTGTTTTTACCTGCTTTCTGGCTTTAACGCGTTTATAGGCAAAGTCAGGGAAGGGTGAGCAGGGGATGAAGCGACCCACTCCAGAGGTGACATGGAGGTTTCCGTCCTCCAGGACAATCTTGCCCTGACAGATCACCACTAGTGGCGCTCCGCGCAGCTCCATGCCCTCGAAGACGTTGTATTCAGCAGCCTGAAAACACACAGAAAACTGGTTGGAGAGGTTTGCGGAAAAATCCGGTTGTTGCATCAGCTACATTAAAAATGTGCACATTTAATTCAGATTAAACAGTAGGGTCCATCTAGACTTTTTGCCCAGGGTTATTTTTTTCTACATGAACTCTTTCCTTAACTTCCCCAGTCTCTTATTCTTTTCGTTCATCACCTCATTTCTTACACTTGTCTGTTTGGCATGCACTAACAGCTGCCATCATGCAGTTGGCCACTGAGGCCTTTGTAGAGCTTCATGTGCTCCTCCCTTGGCTCTAAATCTTGTCCTCCAGCTCCCTTCCCTCCACACTTTCCAGTCATTTGCGTTTTTTTTCCTCTCTACTTTCAACACGACTTTCTCCTCCTCACGTTTTCCTGCTCGATTTACGTATGCCTTGCAGTTTTTCCAACTGCGCGAAACCTTAGGTCTATCACCGATTTTCTCATGTGCAAGCCTTCTTTCCCCTGCATGTTTGTTATCTCTCATGGTCCCCTCCCCTCATTCCATTGTTGCTGATTTCCTCTGCACACGGCCCCGTTTTCTGCTGCCGTCCAAATTCAGGCCAGAACAGGACATAACTAAGACTTGCTGCATGCCAAACATGATGTCATGCCTAAGCTAAGAGTTTTGTGTGGCTGTGTGTCAGTGTGTTCCTGCCCCTTCTTGTCTATGCCTCCAAATATCCTTCCACACTTTGACAAAGCTTTAATGTTGACAACAACCTTCAATCCAGACCAGATGCAGGTTGTCCGATTAACTTATGAGACAGAGGCGGAAAGTGTTAACCAGCACATTGTATTGCAGGCTTTTTCTGTCATTTCATCTAAGGACAGGCAGCAGGCAATGAGAGGGTGACATCATTATGTAACAGCCCAATGGAGCCTCGGTAGAGGTACTCCACTTTTAGAGAGGCCGTGTTATTAGTGCGGCTCAACCCACCCTGCTCACTTCCTCCATCTGGAGAACGTTTAGCTCTCTTTTTCTCCAACGTTTACAAGTTAAGACGAGAAAAAACGCGGATACATATCATATAAGCATCACCTCCCCATCCTCACCCTCAGCACTACCGTATAGGCTGTGATTAAATGCATGCTCCCCTAACTGTTGTAATTCTGTGCGAGCAGTTGTTCTAAGCTGGTAAAGCCTTAATTTCCTGCGCACACTTCCCCTGCCACTCAGCAAACCACGTGCAGTCCTCATGTCTGCGCAACAGCACAGCCCTCAATTCTCTTCCTTGTTCCAGGTGTACTGGCAGAGCATTTCAAACGTATGAAAGAGGTTGTGTGAGAGTGGCTTCACAAGGCCCGTGTTTTAGGTGCAGACGAGAAACATCTGCACAGGGATATAATTTCACTTTAGTATTTCACTTTAGTATAAAAGTAAAACAAAAGACTGGGGTGTAGTCTTGTCATTTAGTGAGGAGTTTCCACTCGTAGAATGCATTGTTTTTTTTAATTGAGTGTACATGTCAGAAATATATGTGGTTTTATGATAGTGGTTAAAGTAGTTGAGAATAGCATCCTCCGAGACCACTTTTCCCAAATTTTTTTGCATATTATTGGATCATTTGTGTGATGGAAAGTGATCTGCAGGAAGGAAATATGGCTAGGTTATACAGCACATATCCCATGTTCCCTGTTCACTAACAGCATGTGGGCAAACATTTGCATACCTGACAGCATGGTTTTTTTTATGTATGGACACTGCCGTGTATTTGAGAAAAATATTTGTTCATGGCGGAGAGGTTTCGGATTTGGTGAGGCTCAACTTTACATTAAGAGCAGGTCAAGTGATGAGTGCCGTGAGTGGGAATTAGCAGTGAGCATCCACTGAGACCTCATTTCCGTTCAGAGGAACTGAGAGCTCTTTGGAAGCCGTTCAAAAATGTGCTCTTTCTCTCCCCAACCTTCTTGGCCTTGCACGCACAGATGTAAATAATTATATCATATATTCCAGCTGGCTGTTTTTCAAGAAGTCACACCTCTTAAAATAGAACTGTGAATTTTCTTTATTTTTATATTGTTATGCCTTGAGAAAAACCGGAAAATGTTTTACAACCTGCCAGCTACAGTCAATCGACCATAAGTAAAAGAAATATCAATGACACTTTGATCAAAGTTAGTGTCTCAAGCATAACCGTTTTAAATTTTTTGAAGAGTATGAATGAGAGGCAGAGGAACAAAAGACACTAAGAGGGAAATTCGGATGGAGATGGAAAAAAGAGAGTTTTGAACTGTGTACATACAGAATTGTGTGTCTTGGCAGTGATGGTGCGAATGGAGTCTGTGTCCCAGATGACCAAGTCGGCGTCAGAGCCCACAGCAATCCGACCCTTCCGGGGGTACAGGTTCAGGATCTTAGCCGCATTGGTGCTTGTCACAGCCACAAACATGTTCTCATCCATCTTTCCTGTGGTCTGAAAGGAAAAAAATATATATGGAAATGTAATGAAATAAAAAGGACAAGCTTAGACTGAGAGGAAAGTCCTTTGCCATTTCATAAATGCAAAAACAGACACAACATTCAACACAAAGGTCACAGAAACCCCCATGTTTTGGCCTTAAATGGACATAGCTTACAATGATCCACGCTACCAAAGAAGCAGCTATAACTTTAAGGAACACTTGGGCTCTGTTTATCCTGTTTTCATTAAGTACACTTTACATTTGAAATACATAAAATGGGAGCAAATACACATTGAGAAATAGCAGTTCAGAAGTAAATTGAACAATACACCAGCAATGACATTTTAATTGACCACGTGTTTGGTGTGCATGTGCCAAACCACATGTGTTTGTGCCTGGAAGTGAAACTTCCCTTCAGTCCTGCTGATAGAAACACTCCGTTCTTGGGATGGAGTTTCATAGTGCCGGTGTTAATATGCCAAAATGTGAAGGGACACACCGTTAGAAAAATGTAAGGAAGCTGTTAAAGCTCGAGAACATGTTAAAGTACCTTTCCTTTCGTGACACATAAATCCGCACGGGGACTTATGAATAAAAGTACAGCACAAGAAAATGCATATTCCCTACATGTGAAGATCTATTCCGCCCCATGATCAACCACTGATTCAACCAGTGATAGCGTGGACAGTTACAAATGACCTGAAATTAGATAATATGGGCAGAGTATTCAAAGAATATTTAATCTCCTTGGGGAGAAGTACAAACTGCTGTTATGGGGGAACAATTTTTCTAAAAGAGGACTGGAAACACACAGGGAACAGCTTGTACGACTCTGATAAATATAGAAAAAAGAAAAAAAAAACAGATGTGAGACAGGATAAAAGGGGAACGGACGAAGGCTGAGAAACGGTCAACAAGACAGTGAAACAGATATCAAAGGAGAACAGACATGTGAGGAAAAAGTGAACGCCAGATAGAATAGAGAGATTACAAGCTGCCTTTGAAAATAAAGACCACAAAGAAGAAGAAGGACATGTTGACTTAGAATAAACAACAGAAAAAATCCATTCTACTGCATCAAAATGGATTTTTTTCAAAGAGAAAACCTTAAAAGTGACATAATTTGTCACCTGCCAAATTACAACACTATCTTCTTTCTCGTCCTTTTTTTTCAAAACCAAAACAGAGAGAGAGACCTGAACTTGTCCTCACCACAGCTTTATCCCAGATGAGCGCCATTCTTTCCTCCACTCCGTTGACACCTTCTGGGATCTGAGTGAAGTCATCCTTGCCAATGGCCTTCTGGGCCACGCTGAACGTACAGTGAGCACTGCCGGTCACACTCAGGTCTCCACTGGAACATGACAAATAAAATAAAAATGCAGTTATCAGCAAAAAAAAAGTCTGCGTACACAAGCAAAACTCTGTGAACACCGAGAAATGTGTTTATTTACTTTAGCAGAAAAGGAGCTGAAAGAAGCTGAAGTAAGCAGCTTGCCAGTGTTTGTTCTACTAGAACAAAGCATTACTCAGACTTCCTATTTCCATATGATGCCGTAAGTCTTCATCCAGATGAAGTCAACAAAGTTACAGCTATCGTTTACAAGCCAGGCACAATTTATTAAACTCTTATTGAAAACAGAGGAGAGGGATTTCGTATTGTTTAGTCGTAACAAAAGTTTTAAGCACTAAGGTATTGGCAACCAGCAAGCATAAGGACATGTTAAACAATGACCGTGCAAAAATAGACTATCTATTATGAGCTTTACACATCCCAGGAGCACTATTTTGCAGAGTTCCTGCTTGTAGGTGCTGCAGAAAAGTCTTAGTGGCCACATAGTTTACGAGCACGCAGGAAGATGTTTGAGGTATCTTGTATTTTATATTGCACACACTGTGATCGTAAAAAAAAAAAAGTTACATAACATGATGTGAAAAACATCACGTCTCTGCAAAATCCTGAAGGATAAAAAAAAAAGGTCGACATCCAAGCCAGAGGGAGGTGCTGTGGTACGCACCTGGCCAGCAGCGTGTTCAGATAGTCCGGAGTGGTGGGATCAGGGCTGAGAGGAGGTGATGTAACAAAAGAAGCTGCTTTGGCCCAGTTCTTGCTCCAGTAATGTGTCCCATCAGTCCCAAGGCTGGCTGTGATTGGCTCCCCAAACACCACATTTCCTGGGAAACAAATAACAGTCGAAAGAAATAATGAAAGACTACACTAAAGCGCCAACTGTGGAGTGATTTTTTTGGCATTTTTAAGATCATGAGTTGCATCAGTTAAGCCTGATTCATTGTTCCAGAAGGTAATCTCACTAAAAGATTTAATACTAATACTATTTCAGTGTTTGTAAGAGAGGAACCTGCCATTGATGGCATTGCACTGATTTTATTTTGGCTTACGTGATTTTGAGCTTGTTTTTCCAAGTACATTGGTCTTCACGGTCCTCTATCTCGGTTTAAAAACAGGTAATGAGGCCATATATGCCTTTAAAGGGTGGACACAAAGGCACAAAAAAAACCTCTTGTCACTTCGTGTCTGTTAAACTTCACGTGCCCTATCGTGAAAAACATCCAAACACAAATTTTCCTTTTCTGTGCTCTCTTGTTTACTTCATTCCACTCGCAAAATTGAATATTTCACAATCATCCGCAGCCCTAGACTTCACATCTGTTTTTTTGTGTTTTGTTTTGTTTTTTGCTTTAAGATACCCTGCCATGGAAAAAGAAAAATGACAATTGCAAATGTCATCTGCAACTTTGTCACTCAGAAACAATAATAAAAACAGAAAAAATACAAAAGAAAGGAGAAAAGGAACAATGTACATACGCATATATGCATATAAACTTCCCCATCTGAATAAATGCATTTTGATACCTTTTTTGCGAGCCTGTGAGATGATGTCAGCTGCGCTTTTGCTCATGACCCGGGTCACATAGAGAGGACAGTTGGTTTGGCTGGCGATGGTGATGGCCCGAAACACCGCCTCAGCCTCAAGCTAGAGAAGGGACAGCACGCTGCGGTCAACTTGCAAATGTTTTTCCCATTAGTTCTTTGTCAAATATACTTTGAATTTCTCCACCACAGGAAATATTTCTGGAGTCATATAATTTGAGCGTTTCATTTGAAAGTTAAATGACAGTTGAACACATATAATTTAAATACTATTAAGTGGAAACGTTACGGACTCCGTTGCACTGAATTAGATTGGTCGAAAGTAGATGAAAAGAAATCGGCGAACTAAGGCCGAAACAAACTGTAATGAAGTCAAATGATCGCCACATGTTTTCAAATTTACTACGTCTGCGACTTTGAAAGCAAACAGGCAGAACAGATTTTGGACACTTGTTCTCAACACAGTACAATGTGAATTATTTTTTAACGCGTTGATGTTTTTAGTGCTAGTCCATTTTAAAGAGCGACAAATGACTTTCAGTACTGTTGTGTTTTTTTTTAAATGAAATTATGGAGCTCCAAAAGCGTTTTGGATCTAATATGCATGACACATATGAATACAGTGCACAGCGTGTGGGTGTTATACCTCCTCTGGCCTGCTCAGAACATGTCCCTCTGGTCCAGTGATACCCATCTGCAGCATCCGGGATTGCTCCTGTTCATCGAGCACAACAAAGCTCCGTTAGCCTCTGGACTCTTTGTTCATCGGGAGCTTGAGAGCTCGGGCAGATGTAATGTGGTGGTCACGGTTCAGAGTTAACGGTCTGTTTCTGTTTGGGGGACGCGTACGAGCAGCAGTTTTATCATTCCTGGTCAGGCCACACACGGCGCGAATCTTTCGGCTGTTGAGGGGTCTCCGCACACATGCTGACAATTTGTTTTGCAGCAGATACAGAGGCGAGTCTTGCATGAAGAAAAAGCAACGATTGCAGAATCGCTCATACAATGAACACTAACTTTGCTTAGAAAGTTGCCTGGAATATCTTGAGCAGTCAACCTGGTAAAATATATGCATTAAACCAGGGGTAGGCAACTCCAGGCCTCGAGAGCCACTGTCCTGCAGGTTTTAAACTGATCTCTTCCGAAGGTGCTTCAGCTCTGAACAGGACTGCTGGTGTTGTGTTGATGTGAATCAGGTGTGGAGAAGCAGGGAACCCTCTAAAACCTGTAGAACAGTTGCCTAACCCTGCATTAAGCAGTTGCATTAGAGGACAGGCATGCACCATGAAATACAAGTCATATGTTATATGGCCTATTTTCATGATGATCTTTAAATCATACCTTTAAACAAAAACTTCAAGAACTTTCTATGCTCTCCCTGGCAATCTTTACATGAAGCACCACAAAGAAACATGTCTAAACAAATCTGTGCTGAATACACAAAAAGTTTTTTTGCTTCAATTTTGAATTCTATGATTAACTTATCTAACAGCCATGAATATATATATGGTAATACCTCTTAGGTACTAGTTGTTATCTTCATTCAAATCAAAACACAAATGCACATATACATTTTTTCTTATTTAAATTAACATTTTTGTGATTCGCAAATTGAGAAAATGGAGCCGTGAAGTGCTATGATGGCTCCACTCGTATCATGTCACTTAAATCAAATAAAAATACTTGATTTTTGTGTCATACTTGTGTAAGATTATCCCCATGTTTCTTTTTTTTTTAAGAAACATTTCCATTTGGACATATTAAAATTATGGTTTCTCTGTTTTCAGACAACAGAAATTAGTTAACAGGTGGTACTACAAAATATGGGCACATATTTGAATTATATATTAACAATAATAACTTACTTACAAAGATGTTGCCTGTGACTGCTTCCCTAGTTTTAGAAAGCTTAGGAAATGTTCAAACTACTTGCCCCTTTAGCTAACTCGCTTTTCTTCCCACTTCTCTATGAATAGGCAGATATGGGAATACAAACTTAGTCAGTCAGAATGGTTGTACAGGAACATGGGGATGGAAATACTTGAATGTGGCTTTCATATATTCTTGGCAGCTCAATATTATCGAAAACTCCATTCTAGGCACACACATCGACTAATGAATTACAAACCTTGACGGGAACCTTCTTACTGGATTTTGACATTTGTGTTGATTTTGGGGAACTCAAAAACTCAAAGGTTTAGCCCAACCAGGCTTTGAAAGTTGCAGGAAAGGCTACAGCTTGGAGCTCCTTAGTCACGGTTTCAGCATTTCTCCATAGCGACATCCATCTATCACATGCAAGTCCAAACAAGGTGTGTCTATCTCAGCACATCTGAAGTAGGGACATCGCGTAATCCATCAGTTCAAATGCATTTGCTCCCCCAACTGATGGAAATCAGAATCCTTCAAAGTCCTGGTTTCAGACTGGATAAGGGAGCCCGGATTTACGATGAATCAGCTCCAACATATGCACGGTGATAGGATCCAGGCAGGGGCCTGGGGTTCTGACTAATAACAACTGTCTAAACTCACCAAGTATTACGCCTGAGTCACTTTCATTAGTACACATAAGGCACAGCGCTGTATAAACTACACCCACACGTTAGTGTCCCGCACTCTCCCTCTCATCAGCGACAGCGTGTTTAGTCTGCAGGTAGTGGCGATGCACCGTGATAAGGCCCAACTAGAGAGGTGTGAACTCGAAGTGAACTCAAATTGAGTAAATCACATAAAACGCAAGCAAATCACAGAGTTAGACACACAGCAAGCGATTAAAGAGGGTTTCAGAGCAGAAATGAGGCATTTTTATTGTTACCTCAGCAATGATCTCGCCATTTTCAGCATGGACCTGAGCGACGCCTCCTCTCTCTGCCAAGAAGGTGAAGACCTCATAGAGCTGCATGAGAAAAGAGACGGAAAAAATGACAGTGGAACTGTTTTTCCTTACGAAATCCAGCCCGGCTGTTTAGACAAGGACAAGACACTGCTTTTTAACTAAGGGGGTCACTCGTAAGCCGCAATTTAAAAGAAGCCCGCAATTTACATGATGTGTACCATGACACACTGCAATTACTGTGTGTGGTCTACAGCAATCTCGAAGCCCGTGTGGGATGAGCTCCAGTTGTTGTCAGCGTTGCCGTGCCACGGCTCCTTAACAGGGTGCATGACATCAGTTTTTTAAGACGGACTATTTCAGTTGCCTCATGTGATCCTATAAAGGCCAAATTAGCCACGGCTGCATGAGAAACACGAAGAATCCCGCTGCACGCTGCCTGAGCCTGCGCTCCTTTACAAGGACTCATGGTATAGCAAAGGCTAAAGTCTCATAGCTTTTGGGGTGTTTACATGGAGAAAAATGTTGTACTTAGTTGAAATATTTATATGTTTGAACCATGGAAGATAATCATATATAAACTGTCTTTAAGGCAAACCAGTGTTTTAGAAAAGTGAAAAAAACACATGATAAAAGTAGGTTTCTATTTCCATTTTTCTTGTGTACAGTGTCCGTGAGGAGGTCCTTATCACAGTGCAGGAGCACTGTGATAAATTCAAATTTCCCAAGATAACACAAAGCCTTCAGAAGATTGAAACAGCTAAACTGAGTTAAAACTGGAACACATGGAATCTTCGAAACGTTGCGTTTGTCAGTTGACATAATTTGTTTTTGGCGGTGTAAAAGAACTGTAGTGAATAAAGTGGAGAACAACTGCATTCGTCACACAGTGTTGCTGGTTTTTGGAACATCCAACAAATAAACTATTTTCATGTTATCCAACAAATACATCCAACAAATAAACTATTTTCATGTTACGGTACCTCGCTGTTGCTCATCTGGTAGTAGTCCTTGTAGGCCATGTAAACCTGGAACGAGTTCACACCTGGAAGGAAATAAAATCTCAGACATGACAAAAACGTAACCGGTTGACCCACCCCATCCCATTTCTATTTTATTTAAATACAGTTCCCCCCACTAGCATGCACTTATCCGCCCTGAGAGGCCGCTACAAAAACCAAAGTGGCCTGGTCACTGTACAGCTCTACTATACTGGATATTAGCAAGCATTAGTGGTCCTTGTTGCACCATTGACCGATTACATCCAAGATAGTGGAGATAAAGTCTGTCTGTGTAAATGTGGGACTTTTAAGCACTAGCAGGTACCTTTCTCTCTGATGAGACTGTCCACCTCCTGCTTGACGCTGTCATTCCAGTGGGTGATGTCCACGTGGAGAGAGTAGTCGCAGCCGGCCTTCTCGTCGGCCCACTGCTTCCACTGGTCGTAGGCCTCTATCAGGCTGGTCCCTGGCTCCGGGATCACATGGTCCACTAGAGACGACGTATGGTAGAGCACAGACGATAAGCAGAGAGAAGCAGACACAGGAAGGGCATGACAGGATAAAAAAAAATGTAATGAAGGGAGACAAAAGAGTGACAGAGTGTCTCTGGGTTAGCCACATCAGAATTTTCCCTGCTGGTGTATCTCTGTATATTTTTATCTTGCATAATCAGCTGTCTGAGTCGCCGCAGTGTTCGGGCAGTCGCAGCAAATCCTGTCAGATGTCACACTAAATTTTGTATATCAGGGTGAAGATGTCCTTGAAAAAGGTGGCCCGCCCCTCAGCTGTCTGCATTTTGTTTTTTGGATGTGTCACCGTAAGAACATTTTGAAAGAGTGTGACATCTTCTGCTGAAGCTCATGGTCACATTTAGATATATGAGCAGTATTCATGTGACTGTACTGGAACATAAAAAAAATGGGGAGTAGAAGTGTATCTCCGAACGGGCCTGTAAAAAATGAATACTCACAGAGCTTCAGTCTGCTTTGCCCCACTGTACACAACCGTTTCACCATACACTAAATATCCTGCTCCTTCTTACTCAGCTATTATGAAATAAGGCTTCCTGCTGGCTGACCACCTGACCGTCTTCTTGATCTCATTAAAGACAAAGACAACCCAATCTGCTTATGTTAATAGGATACAGCCTGGGATGGCAGTCACACACACACACATGAAGACACACACACACACCATTAAAACAATGACGGCAAACAATAGCTGAACAATAAATTGGCCATATTAGTAAAAAAAAAACTAAAATTACAGCAACATCATCGATACCCGTCATCTATCAGCACAACATTTTCTGACTGGAACGAAACACATGAACAAAAGCCAAAGGAGAAACACAGGATACATTTCCCCCTTCCTCACACATCACTCCCTGGAACATAAACTGTGAATGGATCCCATGAATGGAGCGTATTACAGTAGCATGCCTGTTAGTGCCTGTCTGAACACAGAGCCTCTGTGGCGAACAGGCAGCAGAGAGACGGCCTGCCTGGAGGGAGTTCGGGGTATTCGGGATACTTTACTATCTACCAGCTGCCGGCTGCACTAAGTCTCCAGCCTACATGCGGCTACGCATTGACGCTAAACGCTAAAGTATGAAAAACTCACGTCTGCGCGGTGGCCTACTTCCACGTCCACTGAACCGCCCGCCACTCCTGCCCCCTAGAGTCTTTTGTGCTGGCCTTTTTTTTTTTTTTGGAGAGCTTCCCATGGCAGCCCGATACTCTTTCTCTTGTCCTTTCTTTGGGTCCCAGCCCTCCCTCCTTCCCTCCCTCCATCTCATTATAACCTCCTTTTTGGTCACACTCTCTATGTGAATACTGAGTGAGGCTTTTTCTCTGCGGCCAAAGTCGCATAATTGGATCGCTTTTACGACAGCTCTCACCGATCATGGTGGTGCCACCGGCGAGGGCAGCTTTTGATCCCTGAGCGAAGTCATCCACGGTGGTGGTTCCGCGGTAGGGCATCTGGAAGTGGGTGTGGATGTCAATGCCACCAGGGATCACCATCTTCCCGTTGGCTTCAATGGTCTTAACACCACCCGGCACAATCAGGTTGTCACCAATTTGCCTGTGAATTGCAGATAATATTGTTATAAATTCATGCAATATTTTAAAAAAGAGACAGTCAATGAAATAAGAGGGTTAAAAAAACACTTTTGTGCATTTTACTAGAGGAGGGAGGTTATAAAAAGGATATAAAAAGAGCTGTAACAGAAATTTTAATAAGTATTTTACCACAATATATAACCAGGCGGGTGAGTAAGATTACCTGTCCTAAAATGTACATAGCAGACAAAAACAAAAAGTAACAAATAAAACAAAAAAGCACTCTCAAAATCAATTAAGATAAATTTAATTTACCTGTGTCCACAGTATGGCTTGAAAAAGCCCATCGGCACCGTGTCAAGACATTAACAGTCATTTTTTTTGTAAAGCCCCTCCCCTCCTGATCTTTTAGAGGAGAAAAGCCAGACAGACAAGCGGGCAGAAGCCAATGTCTGTGTCCGTTTGCCAGCAGCTCGATGGTGCTGCAGGCCGACGGGTGTTTGTTATGCAACACCAAGCTTTCTGGGGCTTCCTCTCTCTGAGCCGCCTCAGGAAAAAAAGAGTCAGCAACTGGAAAGACGGGGTTGGGGGGGGGGCTACGAATTGTTGTCCAACTGCCCAGCCTTCTCAAGGTGGAGACAGACCGCTGACCAGACTGATTGGTCATCTATATATCTGTCAATGAGCTAAGACAGCAATTTTTTTGTTTAATTTGCTACTGTTGATGATCAGACAGCTTGTGGTAATGTGTTTAGTCTTGAAATAATTGGGATTTACTTTTTTTGTATTCCACATTCAAGCAGAATACTTTTCCTTTGGGATTATTAAAGTATTTCTGATTCCGATTACTGATTCTGAGATTAAACTGTTGACTGACGGCTTAAAGAATCACCAATTCAGTCAGATATATGAATCAGGAATAAAAAACTCTCCCCCTCAAACAAACAGATTACGGCAAGATTGTAGCCAGAAATTCAAGTGCTTGGAATCCTGTATCATAACAGGAAATCTAAACTTTTTTTCAAATGAAATCCATTTGTGAGAGAAAACTGCTGAAATAGAAAGATTAGTCAAATGAAAAGTATGAAAGTTAACTGGAAGAGTTGCAGAGGAGGACTCACTTAATGAGGCCATCCTCCATGTAGATATCAGCATGGAAGGACTGGTCATCGTTCACAATCCTCCCTCCTTTGATCAGAAGCCTATCGCTCTGTAGGGAGAAAAAAACAAGAGGAGAGAGGGTATTAAGTTCAGGTAAATATCAGCCAAGTAGGGGCATTTTTTGGGCTGTATGTGAAGTTAGACAGCGTTGGTCTATTTCGCTGAAGCTAATTTCCTTCCCTTTTTTTTCCCCCACTCAGACGAGATGAACAAAACAATGTGTCATTCGCTCATTCGTGGCTGCATAAAAACAGACACGTTTGTAACTCTACTCCCATACAAACACATTGGAAAAAAAAACATTTGAAAAATGAGGCAGCATAAACACTGGTACAAATCTTTTCATTACTCAAACCACAAACAAAATGATTGTAAGATGACGAAGGCCCGGGAATCTGGATCATGTCTGAACTGTTGCATAGCACACAAACATCCCGTTGGCTCCCAAAACTACTAACAACTAATAATTCACTAAAACATCTTATAATTCAATCTAACCTGATGGCAAGCCATTTGTTGTGGTTGAGTTCAACTTATGTTAATATCCCAAAGAAACTTTCAGAGCCCAATTTTTAGAATAATAATCGGCTCCCTTATTCTGAAGTCAACATTCAAGATGGTAAATCTTCATGAGAAACAGACACTTTGCTGCTGGGAGCAGAGCAGAGGCTGCTTTTAAGCACTGATCGGGGATTAACATCTTATCCGCGTTCATCCTGCTTTTTGTTATGCAACAAATCCAGATGTGGATGTTACATTCTCAGCGCGATCCATCATCAAACAGACAAAATTGAACGATTCGACTGGATTAGCCCCTTTTTCTAAAGCGGGAAATATACAATATGTACGGGAGAATTATAATCCGATCCAAATGTGACGCACATTTATAGCATCACATCTGAGGAGCTTCTCGGTGTTACATCTTACAACACGCGCTTCTCAGGGTGTTGCTACGGCAACTGCACACGCAGCAAAAACCTTCAGCCACTGTCCCACACACTGATTCCAGCAGGTCAAAGTGATAGCAACTGGCCGCTGTTGGTAGGAGGGAGAGAGTGGGAGCCCTGTTCTGTGGATGTCCTGTATATCTGATTGGGCGTGGAGCAGAGTGGAGGGGCCTGTGGGATGGACGGAGCCAATCGCTGGCTGCCAGCTGCTGGCAGACAGACAACTGACAGCTGGTTGGCAGCTTTCTGGTAAATCTGTACATTTAAGCCTCAGCTTAATCCAGGGGGCACTAAAAGATATGTCATGGCAATATATCAGTGAAAACAAACACAGCGGACGTCAGTCTGATCAGTAATTCATCGATAAAATTGTTTATTTTTTTCTCTAACTGTAATACTTTTATCGCTTGTTTTTACACGCCGCAGTCTGGAGCCTCTCTGTCCTCCAGAAACTGCAGTCTCTTTAACTTTGCAACCGACCTACATCTTTTTTTTTAGCCCCAGAGGTTACCACTTCACAGAAAGTCAAGTGTGTGGAAAATGGTTGGAAAAAATTAAAAAGGACTTTGAAGCATTTTTGTTTTTAACTGGATTTTCTCATTTCCGTTATTTTATGATGCCCTCAGTTTTCATTAATAATGTAAATAGCATGCTGTTGTCTGAGAACGTGGTGTGACATATTTCCTGGATGTTAAAGCAAAGTGAATCTGACTCTGATGTGACTGGATTATTTTGTTACCGGTTCATATATGTGGAGCTTCTGGGATTATTAAAGTGTTTCTGATTCTGATTCTGATTCTGATAACCTTTGCTCTTGCCCCAGTCTAGAAATATAGAGTGATTCTGTTTACTGACCACAGATACATAATTTTTCCATGGTGTTCTACTATTTCTTAACTCCCAAATCAAGCTTTTTGTCATTTTAACAAAATGATCAAAAATAAGCATTGAAATCTTGATACAAATGTTTGGTTTTTGGGGCTGGAATAACTAAATTAAATCAGAACAAATATGTCTGAAATAGTAATTACTTCCAGCTTTAAAAATGCGGTTGGAAGCGTAGGCGCAGTCAACAAAACCCTGTTACACTTCTGACATTTTTAATTTTAAATGCTTTTTTACACTCAATCTTCCCCCTACCTCTCTGTAAAAGTGAATAATTATTGATTCTACCACCTAGAAAAAGGCAAATAATAACTCGATGAAAAAAAGCTCAAGTATGAGACATAAAAAAACAGAAGCCCTGCAAATCATTTGCAGTCAAATCATTTTAGTTTTCGTGTACTTGGGAGATTATTTCCAAACCATAAATCCTTCGCCTCGGGAACTTGTGAGAGATCTTTCTCAGCGATGTTTTATCTGTCGAGTAATTGACAGATAAACTTATCGAGCATAAAAATGATTGAATGTGGTCCGCAGCCTCTGTGCTGATCTGTGGCGGTGCGGACCCAACAAATGCAGCATTTTAGAAGCAAGAACATGAAGTTGTGCCCCGGAATAAGTCGACCGTCCTTGATGCATCTGCACTGTGTTACAAAAGCAGGGATCGGTCCCTCGCCCTACTGAGAGTTATAGAGTCCGCCATATTTTCCCATCAGCACATGTGTGCGGTGATTTACGTCGCTGGCCGCGGACCCAGAGTTTCATCAGTGTAATAAACTGCAGCTATTTCATTTGCACATCAAAAAAAAAAAAGAAAGGGAAAATTCATTGTTCCGTTTTGCCTGTAGCTCGAAGTACACACACACACACAAACACACACAGAATATCTGCTGAGCTCATATACAACACAATGTGGGGATTCTTGTGTCTTTCCGTGTGTGTATGTGGTTGCGATGGTGAATGGTGATGTATGCGGTGATGGAGTGGTGTGAAACTGAGCCCGGGCCCTGCAGGCAACCACACCCTGAAGCAGCAAATAACAGCCATCAGCGGCTGGAAGGCAGCACCGGCATAGATCATTCTGCTGAGCTCGCTGCCCTGAAACTGTCACTCATTAACTCAGAGAAAAAGTTTCTTCCAAAGAAAAAAACTTCAAAAGTCCCGCACTACCTAACTCTAAGGTTCAGCAGTGGAGCACATACTCATAACTTGATCTAATCTAATAGGCTATGACATTTAGACAAATATATAAACTATTTCCAGGTATATTTGAGTAATATTGATTTTCCTCCAATACCGATATCCTCATACATTTTTGTTTCCAATAAAAAACTATCTGATGTAATCAAACGGATAAGCTTATGTGCTGAAAATGAACATTTCTGAAAGAAAAGTAATCATTTCGGTCATTTAATGAACTGAAACAACAAAAATTGGAAGATTGTGTGGCTATTTTCCCTCGTTTGCATCAATCTAAACTAAATTCTTTTGGGGTATAGACAAAAAAATACTTCTCTTCGCTGTTTCGTGACATTCAGAATATTGTTTGCCTGAGGCAGAGTTAAGGAGTTCACCTCAGAAAAACCGGCGTCCTCTCCTCAGCTGCATTAGTGAAGAGTTTTATTGGATTTATTGCACTGCAGTCGAGGTCAGTCGCTGTCGTTCACACGAGTTCACGCTCATTTAACAATCGATAGCCTTCCATAGACCAATGGTCCACAGCAGGTTGGAACAGAGCCGCATTTAAAACTTAGAATTGTTTGAACTCAGTAGACAGCTAAAGGTTAACATGATTCACGCCAGGAACTCAGCTCATCAATCAGGAAATATTGACTCAGATCATCTGGACGGTTCCAAACATGTCCAAACTGTAAATAAATGTCGAACACACGACAGGGATTTAAGTGCTACCGACGCAAAAAGTGTTACCAAACCATCGAGCCCGTCAAAGACACCCAATCTGAGGCTGTTTTTTTCACAGACATTTGTCAATCGCAGGTCATTACTCTGCTTGCGGACTCAACATTTGAGGCAGGTTTTCCATACAGTCTGTAGCGAACAGCCTCAAACCATCATACTCACCAGGCCTCATGCTTTTTCTGCTATTTTTTTAGCAATATGCTGGGCATTTATTTAGACTCATGGTAATACATGCAGTGAAACCATGCCGCTTCCAAACATTTCTGCAATTATGTCACCCGCATGTGCCAAAACACTGCTCCTAGTTCATACATCTAAGATTCTGTCAGTTATCACACACATGATTGAGGATTATTTTGACTGTTAAAGAAAAAAAGTGGTCAAATAGCTACTTTTGTTCCTCAAGTGGGTTTACAGCAAGCGAGCAGGAAAGTCTCGCGTGGACTTTTCATAACAACATTCCCCTCTTTGCGCTATGTAAAGTGACTCTCGTGGCTTTTCAACAGTCACATTACTGGAGTCCGACCATCTGTGCCATTATGTGGTCATGGGAATGAACCTGAACATTTGTTACAACATTAACGAGACAACATGCTATCCACATAATGAACACTTGGCAGATGTGTCTGAATCTTTGCTGCCGCTCCGGCTTTGACATTTAATGCCTTTAACTGGCCGATGTGCGCTACAAGTACCAGTACAGAGTCGTGGACTCGATTACACGGCCACAGCTGTTTCAAGACGGTGGGTTTTGTTACATGGAACCTCAGAACTCACGTCAGACTTTCATCTCGTTAAGTGTTGATATAAAACAATACTAAAACTGTAATGAAGTGCTGAGCAGCTGCTATTATAATCCCTGAATGTCTCCCTTTCAACTAAAGCTGACATTTTGGTTTGGTCATGTTTCCCCATGTCTGACTTGTGATTGGATGTTTAACATCCTTCACATTCTGGCTTAAACATTTCAGTTTAATTTACAACCAGTCGCAAGAGATACACATTCCAGCTAATTAAATTAGAAATGTCCCAGTCTGTCTATGATTATTTGCATATTTTGATTTGTGCATATCTACAGAGGTGAAGATATAGTCTTTGAAATTTGAAAAGTAAGTAGCAGCACTTGTACTGAGAGAAACCCACGTGGACTGCTTCTATGAGTTCTTGAAGAGCCTGCTTGTCTATCTTTTTCAAAAGATAACGGCTCATCCTGGTCATTTAGATCAAAGGTATCACAAACTGTACTATTTTTATATAGCCTATTTTGTTCTATTTTTGATCGCACTGGGAAAACAGAATT